TGGAGAGCCAGCTGTGGAGAGCCAGCTATTGGAGCCAGCTATTAGAGCTAGCTATGGAGAGCTAGCTATGGAGAGCTAGCTATGGAGAGCTAGCTATGGAGAGCCAGCTATGGAGAGCCATCTATGGAGAGCCAGCTATGGAGAGCCAGCTATGGAGAGCCAGCTATGGAGAGCCAGCTTAAACTTAAAAGCAATAAACCAATAGCTAAACTTGCATTTCTTGTTAGCTTAAATGGCTTATCCTATACCAGACGTAGTTATTTTAAAGGTTTTATTAAAAAGTTGTAAGGAACTTCGAAATCACCTTCTATACTCAAGGACTTATTTTATAGTTTACTCTTTATTTATCTTTATTCCTAATCTCTAATCTAATCTCTAATTTCTAATCTCTAATTCTTTATTCCTTTAGTCTTTATTTCTTATTGATTCGTATCGTAATTGTGTAATAGCTGTACTCGCTAATCCTTTACAAAAACCAATAATAAATGTAGGCGATAAATTCTTCAGAAGCAAGAATAACTAGCTTAAAAGTTCCTCTCCGAGGATCAGACGAAATAATCTTAAACAAGAAGACATTGCCTAAGTAAAGCATAAGGCTCCATAGATGGCTCTCCATAGCTGGCTCTCCATAGCTGGCTCTCCATAGCTGGCTCTCCATAGCTGGCTCTCCATAGCTGGCTCTCCATAGCTCTCCATAGCCCATTGGTAAAGCGTCCGCCCGGGAAGCGTGAGCCTGAGCGTGAGCGAAAGAAAAGAAAAGCGTTCGCCTGGGAAGCGTTCGCCTGGGAAGCGTTCGCCTGGGAAGCGTTCGCCTGGGAAGCGTTCGCCTGGGAAGCGTTCGCCTGGGAAGCGTTCGCCTGGGAAGCGTTCGCCTGGGAAGCGTTCGCCTGGGAAGCGTTCGCCTGGGAAGCGTTCGCCTGGGAAGCGTTCGCCTGGGAAGCGTTCGCCTGGGAAGCGGTAAAAACTAGTGATTCAACTGAAAAGGAATAAACCAATAAAAATACATGAGTTGGTAAAGTCAGATAGAAACTCATAAAAAGTGAGTTACGAATAGCTAGATAGAACAAGGTAGATCTGTTTAAAATGATTAGTTTGATGAAAAGCTGAGCAATGATTAGCAATCAGCAATCAACAATCAGCAATCAGCAATCAGCAATTAGCAATTAGCAATTAGCAATTAGCAATTAGCAATTAGCAATTAGCATTCACACAAGAATGTCCAATCGTCAATCGATGAATTGACTGTGCTGTGTCTTTTCTCTTAAAACAATTCGAGGATGGAATTCCTCATTCCCCTATTTGTCATCGTGTTTTAAAAATGAAAAAGAAATGTTCTTAAAAAACAGAAAAATTATGATTTTAAAAAAGTATTTAAAAAAAGTAAAAGAAAAAGTATTTTGAAAAAGTATTTTAAAAAAGTAAAAGAAATATTTTGTAATAAGAGATCTTGAAACATTTGTTATTTGAAAAGGAAAATGTGAAAAGGAAATGAACAGGTGAAATTTAATCACAAGTTTGCGTACGGTAGACGAGAAATTTACTATTTAATAACAAAGAAAATATTGATTTTGGTTTAAAATCAAAAAACTTCAAGTATTATTGTTCTGCGAAAGCGAAATGAAGGTATAAACGTCGACCCCTCTGAGGAAAGCAACGCGTTTAAATGACGAGTAGATGTTCTAAGAGAACATGATGAACGGTTGAGAATAGTTCGCGCCGCGATGCTATCCAAAACCGGCGAGAAAACGGCTTGTCTCGAAAAAAAAAGTGAGGTAATGAGAAAGGGCGTCGCACATCGGCGCGAAATAAGGCAAAAATGCGTTTTCTATCGGATTTTTCTGGGAGTACCTTTTTTAGATGTGGAAAATTGTGCTGATTCCGAATCTGAAGGAATTTTTCAAATCCCCTTGACAGAAATTTTTTAAATTGAGTTTTAGCGGTTTTTTGGTCATTTTGTATGGGAAATTTTGTGGTACCCTGCAGTTTGGGGCTCGTAACTCGACAACGAGGGTCTAGAACCAAAAACGAAGGGATAATTTTTATTCTAAAGGCTCTTACGAACATTTTGATGCAAAAATCATCAAATTTGCTCAACTCTACAAAAAGTTATAACATTTTTTAAAAAAGAAATGAGAAAATTTAATAAATTCTCGATTGCACAATTGTTTTGTTCAAAAGAACAATGTAGCTATGTATCGTATGCACTCAAAACAATTAAGGAATATGCAAAATAATGGCTCAAGTGCGCGGGAGAGCCGAACCAACAACCCCATACTTTTGCGCGGGATTCTTTTCGCGCCGCACCAAAATAATGGCTCAAGGTTTGTTCTTGCTTTAGTTAGCGATTATTTGCAAAATTTATTGATGCTACAAGTCGTTGGAGAGCCGAACCAAATTAATGATTTTGCATCAAAGTTTTCGTGAGAGCCTCTAGAATCAAAATAATCCCTTCGTTTTTTGCTCCTAACCCTGATTGTCGCGGTACGAGCCCCAACTGCGGGGAACCAAAATAATCTCTAACAAATGACCGGAAAACCGCTAAAACTCAATTTAAAAATTCCTGGTCAAGTGCGCTTGAGTTTTCCGAACCAGAACAATTTTCCGCATCTAAAAGTGCCCCGGGAAACGAACCAAGCAAACGCATTTTTGCGCGATTGCATGTCGGGCGCCTAAGAATACCCGGCCACGGTTTCCCATTATGTTTTTGAGTGTATTTTGCAATTCTGGGGGGCCCCGATTAATTTGTGCAATTTAGAAAATCACCGAAAACGGTGACTTGCTAAAGGTACGGAGTTAAAACGAGATAACGGTGGTTTTCGGCGAAAAATAGCAATTGTTGAGCTTTTAAGCTTGTGTAGTATAATATTGATTTTCGTTTAAAATCAAAAAACTTCAAGTATTAAAGCAATTTTTGTGTAAAAATTTTATTTTTGACTTGAAACAGAGAAAAAGTATTGAAAAAAACAAGTGAGCTTCTGAAATTCTTTCAAATTAAGCCTTTTACGAGGCTCAAAACGCTAAACAAATTTCTATGGAGTCTTCGATTTCAATTCAACTTGTAGACAGTGAATAAAGGGAAGAGAAGTATTGAAATTGAAATTGAAATCAAATTGAAATCAAATTGTGCATTTAGACGTTCATCTTCTTGTACAGAGTGGACAATAATTACAATAGCTAGAGTAGCTTCTTGATGCTATAGCTAGAGTAGCTTCTTGATGCTATAGCTAGAGTAGCTTCTTGCTTATAGCTAGAGTGACTTCTTGATGATTGCCAAAGAAAAATTTCGAGATTTTCAAAAATTCAAAAAATTTCGCTCCTGGGTGGGCTTGAACCACCAACCTTTCGGTTAACAGCCGAACGCGCTGCCGATTGCGCCACAGAAGCAGATGTTTGCTGGGGAAAGAGAGGGGTTTTTGAAGCGGTGAAGGAATTACTTTGAAATTGAAATCTCTACATTTTCAAGGGGAATTCATTCAAAAAAGGAAAAATTGTTGAAAAATTGATGGAATCTTCCATCATTTATAACTTTTCTTTCATCTTTCTTTTATTAGAAACTTATTTAGCTTAGAAATTTGCATATAAAGGTCAAAAATCGGAAATTTATCCGTTTTCTCTTTTCTTTCTCTTGGAAAAAGAAGAAAAATCGATGGAAATCCGTTTTTAGAAGTTCATTCACTTCAAATTTGAAGATGAATTATATAAATACTTTATTTAGAAAGAAATAAAGTGCGAAAACGACATGAAAAATGTACCAGGTCAAAGATCACAAAGTCACTTAAAATGCAACGAAGTAGCCCTTTTAAAATCAGACTTTTAAAATTATAGTTCTTATTTAGTTCCTTTCTAGTTCCTTTCTAGTTCCTATTTAGTTCCTTTCAGAAGTGAGTGGGGAATCAGAAGAGGGTGGGGAATCAGAAGAGAGTGGAGATCAGACGCAACTTGTCGGGAAGGGCATTCCAAACTTTAATCACACGATTTAGAAAAAAAGCTCTAGAGGATTTAGAGAAAGCAGATTCGGGATGCAAGATAGCAATCGGGATGCAAAAGAGCCACGTCTAGTCGCCAAAAGCCTCGAGTTTAGCCTCGAGTTTAGCCGAAAAAAATTTTTTTAAAAAAGGGTTTTGATGTTTTGATGTTTTCCTTTTACAATTTTAAACCACTCAACCAAATCTATGATAAGACGGCGCTGTTCTAAGGTTTCAATTGAGAAAAGTTTCAATCTATGTTTATATCTGACGGGTAAAAGTCCCAGAGGATAGATAAAGGTCCCACAGGATAGATAAAGGTCCCAGAGGATAGATAAAAGTCCCAGAGGATAGATAAAGGTCCCAGAGGATAGATAAAAGTCTCACAGGATAGATAAAGGTCCCACAAGATAGATAAAGGTCCCAGAGGATAGATAAAAGTCCCACAGGATAGATAAAAGTCTCACAGGATAGATAAAGGTCCCACAGGATAGGTAAAGGTCCCACAAGATAGATAAAGGTCCCAGAGGATAGATAAAAGTCTCACAGGATAGATAAAAGTCCCAGTCCATTCTCTCAATAAAAAGAATATGATAAAGTTCATCGTTTGAATCTGTTTTATCGAAAAAGAATCGATAAAAGTTGGCTGTTTGGATTTTTTTTGTCTATAGGCCATAGTTATAGGCCATAATCATAATCCTTATCATCTATTATTATTAACTATCACAAACTTTTTAAAGCTGAAACTTTCCACTAAATATTCTCCACTAAGCATAAAGTATTCTCCACATAAAAGGATTTAAAAAATCAAATTCAAACGTTTCAACAAGGCTTTGGTTCAGAAAGTGAAGAATTCCAAGTGAAATTTCTCGATTTCATCTCTTTTTCTGAATCACTCAGCTCGCCGGATCTTCCGATGGATTTTTTGGTACATCCTTGAGACAAAAGCTTTCTCTAAACAGCATCAATTAGCCACCTCACCGAAACAGAAAGGCATTTAATAGTCTAATCATGAGACGAACTTTGGTTTGGTGTATGCCATCTTATTATGCAAAAACAAACCTTAATTCCACCCCGACGAAGCATGTCAAATTGGCAATTGTGGCTTCCATTTCTTCGGCTCCATCAGCGAGGATCACTAATGCCGTCTTTTCTGCCATGGCCACGAATTTTGAAAGTAGACGAAACAACTGAAATGAGAAATTGAATGACAGCAAAACAAAAATGACAGCAATTTCGTTTTTAAATCAGAAATTTTCCCGGTCAGATCAGTGGTTAGTAAGGGCCAGCTATTAACTATTAACCTATGTTAAAAGTTTAAAGAAAAGCCTTCTAGTAGCTTGGAATGAACTCGATGATGCTTAATTGATTCGATTCGATCGATCGATTTTCCAAACACTTGAAAAATTGCTCGGCTAAAAATTGTGATCGCTTTGAGTTTAATTGCTAATTTGTTGTTCATTGTTATCAAATAAAGATTTTAAAAGAAAAGCTTGCTCTCTAAAGTTTCATTTTGTCCATCTACACTCTGTATCTATTATTATGCCATTTTGTAGATATTTATTACCCATTGTTTACATTGAAATGTTCATGTTCTTTTTCTCCGATCGTATTGTGAAAAGAAATGTGTTCACTTTGTGGCGAAGCTTCTCTGACTTCAAAAATACGAATTCTGCAATAAGAATCTCCAAATAGACATATCAGAGTGCTTTCCGCAAAACTTTTTATTTTCTTGAAATCTTTTTATTTTCTTCTCGGTTAATAGTCAACATCTGTTTGTAAGGTTTTTGTATTTTTTATTTTTTTTTTTTTTTAATGATGAATTTAATCTGACTGAATGATGAATTTAATCTGAAATACTGTAATAGACATCGAAGTAGATTTACGATTTGTTTTAAGTCAAATTCCTCAATTCACATTCATCAAGATTCATCAAGTTTTAAGTTTCAAGCCTTTTTAAAGTCAAACTTTAGATTTTTTCCCAATAACTGCTTATCTTTTTTATTCGATTTTCCCATTCATTTCACATAGTATATTTGATAGATGAGTTCATTTCGAGAGTCTAGAAAAAGAAGAAGAAGAGGGAGAAGAAGAGGGAGAAGAAGAAGAAGAAGAGGGAGAAGAGGAAGAAGAGGGAGAAGAAGAAGAAGAGGGAGAAGTGGAAGAAGAGGGAGAAGAGGAAGAAGAGGAAGAAGAAGAGGAAGAAGAAGAGGGAGAAGAAGAGGGAGAAGAAGAGGGAGAAGAAGAGGGAGAAGAAGGAGGGAGAAGAAGGGGGAGAAGAAGAGGGAGAAGAGAGGGGAGAGGAGAAGAAGAGGGAGAAGAAGAAGAAGAGGGAGAAGAAGGAGAAGAGGAAGAAGAGGGAGAAGAGGAAGAAGAGGGAGAAGAGGAAGAAGAGGGAGAAGAGGAAGAAGAGGAGAAGAAGAGGAAGAAGAAGAAGAAGAAGAGGAAGAAGAAGAAGAGGGAAGAAGAAGAGGGAGAAGAAGAGGGAGAAGAAGAGGGAGAAGAAGAAGAAGGAGAAGAAGAAGAAGAAGAAGAAGAAGGAGAAGAAGAAGGGGAAGAAGAGGAAGAGGAAGAAGAAGAAGAAGAAGAAGAAGAAGAACAATGACTGATCTCATTTAATTAGTAAGTGTCTCAAGAAAACTCAAGAAAACTTCAAAAAAGCGGGTAATTTGGTGATTTGCCTTCTGCGATTCTTTTGAACAAAAGTGAGAAAAGGGGACTTTTTTTGGACAAAAAAAGAAGCGAGCATTGTGAGAGTGAAAGCTTTGAAAGAAGTGACAGGGCGAAGATTTGCTAAAGAAGTCAACCTTGTCAACAGTGAACTATTCGATTATTCGACATACTCAGTCACATTGAAAGCATTCATTTATTTTGTATATCGATTTGTTTAGAAACGCCTAGAGAGCTTTGTTTAGGAACGGCTGATTTTGAAATATTCCCTATGAGACTTTTCTTATTCTTCTTATTCTTCGTCATCATTGCAGTGGTTGAAGCGCAAAACAATCCACTAAATCAGGTGAATAGGGAATTCATTTATTATATAAACTGATTGTGAGTAGCTTTAAGAAAGAAAAAGAATCAAAATAATAATCAAAATCAAAATACCGACTTCAACAGTGTCTAAAGTCAGCTGTTTAAACTTTCTGCAAATCCAAGGACAATTTTCTCATCAAGATTTTGTCCTATACTTCTTTTCTTTTAGAAAAATAGAAAAATAGACTTTCTAGAATTTCTCTATGTTTCTTTTTAGACACAAGCAAGGAAATGGCGTCTTGTACCAGCGGCGAGAGGAGCTCGGTCAGCTATTGAACTGCATTTCGATTTGTTTGATTTGTTTGATTTGATTCGAAGAAGTGTTTGAGATAGGAATACGTTAGCAAAGCTTTAGACTTGATAGTTAGTTAGTTAGTTAGTTAGTTAATTGTTTTTAGTTAGTTAGTTAATTAGTTAGTTAGTTAGTTAGTTAGTTAGTTAGTTCAAATTAGATAGTTCAAATTATATAGTTCAAGTTAAATAGTTCAAATTAGATAGTTAGATAGATAAGATTTGAGAATTTCAAGTCTACCTTTACGCAAATTTCGCTCCGATCTTTCCGATCCAATTCAAAATCCGAACAATTCGATTTAGAAACCTTCAAGCATCAGAGTCCAAGGCGCTTGGAGTGATGCCAAAGTTGGTAAGTTTTTTCACAACGAACTTTGAAAGGAAAAGGTTTAGATCACTCTAGAAGGCTCTCGATTAGCTAGACACTCGGAAAAGCATGCACAATTCTTGAATGATGTAAGTTTCCAGGAAGTATGCTTAGCTTTTGGCTAACTGTAAGCAGCTTACAGTTAGCCAAAAGCGACTTAAAGTTAGCTTTTTTAGGGTGAATTCGAGGACATCACCCGATCCGAGCAACCGAGAAGAAAAGTAAGAAAAATCGCGAGAAAGGGACGACGAGTCGAAGAAGGAGTTAATGAAAAGACGACAACCGAGAACCCATTACGACCAACAACAGCCGTTCATCGTTTACAATCAAAAAGAAAACACTTTGTGATCGTTGCACCGACGGTGAGCTCAGAAGTACATGGTGACTTTTTGGAGAAGTAGCTGGGAAATGTGTAATTGATTTCAGAGGTAAGTGTTATATAGAGAATTGTAGCTCTGAATCTTGGCTACATTTATCTACCAAAAACTTCCCGATTTGATTTATAAAACTCATTTCACAAGCGATTGAATGAGCGCTAGTTTCAACTGTCATTTTGCTGATTTTTGCTGCTGAAACTGCTGTTTTCTATAAAAATTGTTTAGAAAAGCTTTTGAATATTGGAAAAATAGAGTTTAGCATCATTTAATAACATTAAGAATAACATTTAGCAATTTTAGCTAAAGTGACGTAACCAAAAGTGACTAAATGACAGATTTGGAAAGATGTCGACTAGCGCTCATTCAATCGCTTGTTAAATGAGTTGTATAAGTCGAATCGAGAAGTTTTTGGTAGATAAATGTAGCCAAGATTCAGGGCTACAATTCTCTATATAATACTTGATACTTTTGAAATAAACTAAGTGTTAGTACCTTTAAAATAAACCACATTTCTCAGCGAGTTTTCCGAAAAGTTCGCTAGAATTGTAGCCTATTAAATCAGCTCTTGTAGTCTCTTAAATCTTTATCTTTATCAAGTCCAAATGAATCTTTATCAAGTCCAAGCAAAGGGTTAAGCCTAAGCCTAAGCCTAAGCCAATTCAAAAGCCTGGAGCATCTTTGATGATCTTTAATGATCTGCCCTTGACTTTCCTGGTTTTACTGTTTTCTAGTTTTAAAAAGATCAATACCAAAAAGTCTGACCTAGATTTGGCTCGTGTTTTCGTCCACCATTGTCTCATTTAGTTTACCATAAAACCCCGTTTGTAACCTTTGATTTCTAGATGTTCAATAGCTCTTTCAGCCACCCGAGTCCACTCCCTCTCCAATCATTGCCCAACTCTCAAATGGTACAAACAATCAATCTTCGACCCCAACAAAAGGTTCCTCATCAGCTTTTTCTGGATTTTCTCTGTCCTTTCCCGCAAATCGCACCTCGAATGCAAATGCAAATTTTCGACGAGCACGAGCTTTTTTCAGTTCAAGGAACGGCTTTGCTTCCTCTGAAATGCCAATCTTTTTTAATTCTCAAGAGGATTTCGAAAGTGAGCCAATGGATTCAAAAGAAAAGTTACAAGTTTTTCGAAAAGGATTCGATGAAGTTAAAGAAGATGATGATAATGATGAAGATTATGAAGAATTTTATGAAAACGATGAAAAAGAGCCGGCTGAAGTGGCTGAAGTGGCCGAATTGGATCGATTATTGAAAGAATTAGAAGAAAAATCGGTGAATAGTGAAGAGGTTGAGGGAAAAGCGAGAAGAAAAACGAGTTTCGAAGTGGAAATCGGTGGGAATGTTGCTTGATTTGTTGTCGCTTGCAAATGATAAGAGCTTTTAGATTAAACAAGCATTAAACAAGCACAACCGCTTTAACCTTATCAACGAGGATGATTGCTTAAGAATGCTTAAGCTGCTTAAGAATGGCCGAATAGCACAAAAGGGTAAAAGGGTTTCCCCCCAAAAGCGCTTACAACGTAACAAGAACGTAACAGGAACGTATTAATCTATTGTTGAAACACGTAGTATCCAACAATAGATTAATACTCTTGAGAAGAGTACAGATCGGATTGATACTACGTCGATGGTGACACAAATGTTAGTAAAACCTCTCTACAATGTTAAACCAGTCTCTCTAAAATGTTAAACCTCTCTACAATGTTAAACCAGTTATCTAAAATTAACCAGTTATCAGGATTTAAAACCTGAAGGGTAGCATAAGGTAAAGTGAATTTATAACGTTACTGTTTATTAGTACAGAACCGAAATGCAACAATACCCATTACAAAAACAGCATGCGCATCAAAAATGAAACAACAAAGTCCCCCGAGAAAGAAGGCAAAAAACCTGCGGACCAAAAAAAGGACGAAAAATGCGACGCGAATAATTGCAAAATAGCAACGCAAATAGGAAGGAAACGGACACGACCCATTAAACAAGCATTAAACAACCATTAAACAAGGATTAAACAAGGATTAAACAAGGATTAAACAAGGATTAAACAAGGACTAAACAAGCATTAAACAAGGATTAAACAAGGATTAAACAAGGATTAAACAAGGATTAAACAAGGATTAAACAAGCATTAAACAAGGATTAAACAAGGATTAAACAAGGATTAAATAAGGATTAAACAAGGATTAAACAAGCATTAAACAAGCATTAAACAAGCATTAAACAAGGATTAAACAAGGATTAAACAAGGATTAAACAAGGATTAAACAAGGATTAAACAAGCAAACAAGCAAACAACCATTAAACAAGGATTAAACAAGGATTAAACAAGGATTAAACAAGCATTAAACAAGCATTAAACAAGCATTAAACAAGCAAACAAACAAACAAGTAAACAAGCAAACAACCATTAAACCACCATTAAACAAGCATTAAACAAGCATTAAACAACCAAACAACCATTAAACATAAAAGCTTTGCATGCAAATTTCTACAGTAATTTCTACATGCGCTTTGCTTTTTTCCTGATTTTTCTCATCATTTCTCAAGCAAGCTTTTCAAATTTTCATTTAAAAACTTTCAAATTTCAAATTCAAATTTTTTCAACTTTCCTCGATTTGAGATGACAAAATGATAACAAAATTTTAGGCCCAGATTTCAAGAGAGAAATTCAACAAGAGGATCAAAGTGGAATCAAAGTTGAAACAGGACCATCCGGCACTCCAACACTTGAGATATCTCCAGAAAATCTGCCTGAAGAATATCGAAAACTTCTCGCAAAAGGATACCATTCATATCCAACATTTAACTCAAAGGTACGGAAAAGAGGAAATTGATTATGGTAGGAAAATGTTAAATAAGATCTGTGATTTGTATTTGAATTTGATTTGAATTTGATTTGGATTCTATTTGAATTTGATTTGAATTTGATTTGAATTTGATTTGAATTCTATTTGGATTCTATTTGAGTTCTATTTGAATTTGATTTGAATTTGATTTGAATTCTATTTGATTCTATTTGAATTCTATTTGAATTCTATTTGAATAACTTGATTAAGAAGAAGAGGAAAAAAAGAAGAATTGGAAGAAGAATTGGAAGAAGAATTGGAAGAAGATTGTAAGAAGAATTGGAAGAAGAATTGGAAAAAGAACTGTAAGAAGAATTGCAAGAAGAATTGGAAGAAGATTGGAAGAAGACTGTAAGAAGAATTGGAAGAAGAATTGGAAGAAGATTGGAAAAAGATTGTAAGAAAATCTTCTAAGATCTAATCAAAAGAAACAAATCTATTCAAGAATTAGCTTGTCTTGTGCGTACTCTGCCAAATACAAACGGAAACGCATCCTTTCTTTCTGAACCAAAGCTGTCGGAGAAAAGCTGAGAGCCAACTAACCAGAAAAAGCTCCTTTTCCCTGCACCAGAAAGGCTGTCCTTGCAGCCTTTCTGGTCTAAGCAAAAAGTCTAAGCAATAACTACAAAGCAACAGTACCAAAATCTAAAATTAGATCAAAAGTTTAGAACTACAAACGCCCTCCACAAGCACTCTTCGAGGCAAACCTTGTGCCATCAATGAATGTAAGGGAAATCGCTTCTCATTGTTTTTTCATTGCCACATTTCTCATTGCCGATTGCTTTTTAGATCCCTCCAATTCAACCGCAATTCCCTATGTCAAACCAAATTCCAATTCCTTTTCAACCAACTCAACCGAATTCAGGAATCCAGATCTTTCCTGGAGCTCAAGGTAGTAAAATAGGAAAATTCCAACCCGAGCCTAATTCCACCTTCATTTTCTCAGCCATTTCAGAGCAATCGGCTAAGAGACGGCTGAGAAAATGAAGATGGAATTGGGTTCGGCTTGAAATTTTTTCATGTAGTGTAGTGTAAAACTATAAAAACTAAAAATATAAGAAATTTGCTTTAGGTAACTCATTTGTGATTCCGCAAGGAGTAGGCAATCAGAATGTGAATCTAAACTTGTTGATGAGAGCCCGACAACTTTTAGCGTTACGAGAATTGGAGTTGATTAAAGCAAAGCAGGTTTGGATTGGAAAATGGAAAACTAGTGCTTGTAATTGACTAGTACTAGACTAGTAAACTAGTCTAGTCTAGCACTAGTCTAGTCTAGCACTAGTCTAGTCTAGTACTAGTCTAGTCTAGCACTAGTCTAGTCTAGTACAAGTTTTTCTTTTATTTGAACTTTAGGATCTCCTCCTCCAGCAAGCCAAACAATCCCAATTGCAACATTTGACGAATCGAGCTGGGAGAGCGATCGGAGAATCGACTCAATCCATTGATCGATCCAATGCACAAATCGATCCATTCATCATGGCTGAAGTAAAAGAAAATAAAAGCTTTAAGTTCATAAAGTTCTAGAGCTTTTAGATCAACTTCTAGAAGTTTTATGAATGTTTAAACGTCTCTATTTTCCAGCTTCATCGTCGTCAACTCTTCACCGCTCAACTGATGCAACAAGCGCAGCAACGAGCATATTATGTAAGTAAAGATCAAAGTTCAAGCAAAGAAAATAACAAGAATTTCAGCCTGATGCCACATTTATGCAGTCTGGAGGTGAGCAAATCAAAATCAAATCATTTTCATCTAAAAAACCTTTTTTAGCGATTCCTCAAAATTTGGCACCTCCACCACAAATTGGGAGTCAATTTGGAGCCCCTTTTTTGGCACCAATCACTGGTAAACTGTATTAAAATAGATAAAATGCTATAGCTAAAGCTTTAAACATTAGTTAACTCGATTGAATTCAGATGCTCAACAACAATCTGCGGGAAATTCCCCATTTCAAACTCCATCAGCGACTTTCCTTCAAAACGGCCAACAAATCCAGATTCCGGTTGTTTTCAAGCGAGCTTTGCCAAAGTGATGAAGCAAAACAAAGAAATATTCAAGATTATAGATTAATAAATAAGTTTATTGGAAGAGGATTGGTAGATTATTGGTAGATTCTTGATATTTCTCATCTCATTCATATGGACAATAGTCAGGATCGTTGATGGATCGTTGATTCCCACACGAAAACCACGATAAACCAAACGACATCTAAAAGAAAGAGAATCTATTTCTTTTACAATTAAATACAATTATATATATGCTTTATTCAGGGGCAAATAGAAGCGAATCAGATAATCATAACCGCATATAACATATTGCTACAATACTTTCACAAAAGAAAGAAAACTAAGAATAGTACAGTAAGACTACAGTTAGGAAACACAGGTACAAAAGGATAGTGCAGATTAAATATAGAGCAGATTTGACATGGCAATAAGATCTAATCTAATAGATACTACTTTCAATTTTCCTACAGACGAGAAGATACCAGACGGGAGCTTATTCCAAACTAGTACTAATAACGTTCGCAAAAGAATGATAAAAGGAAAGATAAGGAAAGAAAAGGAAAGATAAGGATTGAATTTGATAACGATGACTCTCTTATCTCTCTAAATTTGGTTCCTTATTTCTCTAAATTTGGTTCCTTATCTCTCTAGATTTGGTTCCCAATCTCTTTAAATTTGATTCCTTATCTCTCTAAGGATAAGGAAAGATAAGGATTGAATTTGATAACGATGACTACGTGTTCTTCTAGGACTTTCCACAGTCATCAAGATTTTGAAATTTCCATCATTTTTCAAAATCACTATGGTCAAAATCGGTTGGTCTACTAATACGGTTCGCAAAAGAATGATAAAGGGAAAGGTGATGGGGATGAGAACCGACCGAAATTTGATATGCATTACTACGTGTATTTATTCAACACCATAGATTAATAAATAGGTTTATTGGAAGATTACAATTCTTGATATTTCTCATCCCATTCATATGGACAATAATCAGGATCGTTGATGGTTTGCACACGAAAACCACGATAAACCAAACGACAACTAAAAGAAAGAGAATTGATTTGTTTAAAAGAAAATCGATTTGTTTAAAAGAAAATCGATTTGTTTAAAAGAAAATCGATTTCTTTTACAATTATATATAGCTATTTACATTTAAAAATATTATATTTATTCTAATATTAGGTACATGCATAAGAAATGCGGATTTCAACATTTTCATCAATTTTCAACGATAGAAATCTGATGAATGTCGATCGAAATATCGATGAATGTTATAAACTATTTGAAAGTTGTAAATCTTTTTAATAAATTCATAAATTGAAGTAAAAAACAATAAATATCTAGTCTAAGGAATAAATTTGATTCAAATAAGAATCCTAATCGCAAGAAAAACATTAAACTTTCTATTATTTTTGCAAATGATAATGAATGCAATTTTTACTTAAATGCTTAGATAACTTTAAATGCTTTAAAGGCTCAAAACTCAGAATATTCAGTCTACTAAGCTGAATATCTATAGTTATTGCTTCTATTAGAATAAATATTATATCTAATTCGATAAAAACTCACCGAAATTCGTGAAGTCTAGGCCAAGCGGCGTCAGCGGATTGCGTCAATGCTGGATCAGACCACAATCGCTCGGCTACAGCTGAAGCTCGTGGCCTAGAAGATTGCTATTAAAAAAATGCCAAAAATGCCATTACTTAGATTCTTTCCGTTATAAATCCACAAAATTTGCATCCTTTGCGTGTTGGCTCGTGAATGGAGGGCACCAAAATTCATTCTTTTGCTATTTCATGTGGATTCATGTTCCGTTTACCGACTACCGAAACCGATGCAATCTCGTTCTTTCAACAACGAACGAAACAACAACTTGCTTACTACTCGCACATGCACCAACCATCACTTTATCGATCGCTTAATTAGAATCCCCAATGGAGATTTGACAAAATGTGCCGGACAGCGATCAGCCTGCGCGTTGGCTCATGGATGGAGGCTTAGGCTTAGGCTTAGGCTTAGGCTTAGGCTTAGGTTTAGGTTTAGGCTTAGGCTTAAGCTCAGGCTTAGGCTTAGGCTTAGGCTTAGGTTTAGGTTTAGGCTTAGGCTTAAGCTCAGGCTTAGGCTTAGGTTTAGGCTCAGGCTCAGGCTTAGGCTTAAGCTCAGGCTTAGGCTTAGGCTCAGGCTTAGGCTTAGGCTTAGGCTTAAGCTCAGGCTTAGGCTTAGGTTTAGGCTCAGGCTCAGGCTTAGGCTTAGGCTTAGGCTTAGGCTTAAGCTTAGGCTTAGGCTTAGGCTTAAGCTCATAGCTCATGAATGGAGAATCAAAAGAGATCAAAATTCTACGAATGAGTGTTGCAACAAATTGTATTTCAAAAAATCATTCTTTTAGTGTCATCTTGGCACTGAGTGTTTACTAAAATAAGTGAATTCTGAGAAGTTAAAGTATTGGATAAAAAATTTACCTTAATCAAAAGTTTTCCCTATTTTACGTACTTGACTTTAGGTTTTCAATGGAACCCATTGCCTATTCGTTAACGAATTAAAAACTTGTCTAAAGGTGTGATATCACATCCGTCTGTTATCAAATGTGGTGTGATAACAGACTGATGTCATAGCCAAAGGCTGCTCATTCAAAAAGTGATCAAGTGACTTCAGCTGAAGAAATCTCTTTACTTGAAGCCTACTCTGATTTTTTGACTTTTTGAAAGTCAAGTTTATCTGGGAAGAATTGATGGCTTTGTTTTTGAGAAATCACTGTGCAAACTTTTTCTACGAAATTTCTTGTCAACCTAATATAATCTTTTCTAATACTTTATGGAAAAGCAGGGTGAAATAATCAAATGATAACCCCAATCCTGGGACAACCAGAAGCTAGGATTAAACTAAAAGCCAAGGATTGAAAATCTGGTTCAGTTTACAAAGTATTAAGACTAATTTGCTTTGTATTACGCATTTCCCTTGAGGCTAAGACTTCTTGAAACAACCTGTTGTCTAGCCCATTATCTATTATTTGCCATTATCTATTATTTGCCTAGCTAGGCCAATCTGAGCTTCTAGAGAATCGTTTACTTTACTTTACTAGAGAATTCAAACCTGAATTCACTGTAATCTATTCTAATACTTTATGGAAAAGCAGGGTGAAATCATCAAACGATAACCCCAATCCTGGGACAACCAGAAGCTAGGATTAAGCTAGAAGCCATTGGGATTCCCTAGTCTAGTTCAATTTACAAAGTTTGATTTTTGAGAAATCACTGTGCAAACTTTTCCTGAGAACTCTCTTTCCAACCTAATATTAGATAGATAACGAAAAGATTTCCTCACCAAAGTCTATCGATGAGATTCGTCGCGTCGACGAACTCGCCCCAAATCGCCGCCTCTCCGCCAAGGACTTTTGCATAAAATTGTTGAGTGTTAAGTAAATATATTTCTTTGATTAAATTACTAGATAACTTTAAAAGAAGATTGAAAAGATTTACGAATTCAATTTATTGACAAACCTTTTGCGTTTGATCACCGGGGAATCCCTGTGGATCACATTGATAGTACATTCCACGGTCTCTCATATTCTCTTCGTTCACATAACCCCAATCGGCTCCATACTTGATGTAGTTTAGGTACCTAGAATTGTAGAACGAGTTAGTAAGGGGAAATTTTGTAAAATTTTCGTTTTTCCAAAGCTTTATGAAAGCAAATAATTGGAATAGCGGAAAATGACTAAAAAATTGTCACCAAGAAGCCCCGTTTTTCCTTTGTCTTTCCCTTTTCGTTTCCTTTTTCTCTGGGTGGCTAAGGTACCGGATAGCTCAGTGGGTAGAGGTTAGAGGCCACCAGGCAGAAGGTCGAGGGTTCGATCCCCTATTTGGAAATCTATTTTTCTTTCCAATCGTTTCACTTTCAAATCTTTTTTAGATATTGCAATCGATCTCTATTCTTTCAAAATCAAATCTCTATTCTTCTCTCTTAAATCCTTACTTTTCTCAATAACAATAGCTTGAATCAAAAGATTTCAAGAAAAAGAAAAGAGAAGTTTAAAGATTTTGAAATGAATTCGAAATGAAATGAAATGAAAAGATTTTCCGGTGAGGGAGATTTCCGAAAGTAGATAGATTAGATGATCTAATCTATCTACTTTCGGCTATTCTTTTTAGCTAATCATAGAATTCGATGAAAATAGAGATAAAACTACGGTAAATAGACACATTTTAGTAAATAGATTCGTCTAAAAGATTCGATTTTGCTATTGAATTCTAGATTTTTGGCCTTTCGGTCATCATCATCATCATCATCACGGTTTCTATGATTCACAAAGATTTGGTAATGGTTTTGATGGTCACCATTTTGATGGTTTTGATGGTTTTGATGGATATCATCATCACGATCATGATTTCTTTCCTCATCTTCATCACGATCATGACTTCTTTCCTCATCTTCACCATCATCATCATCACGACTTTTCGAAGTATTCAATTTCCTTGGCTTTCTTGTAGATTTTTGACAAATAAACGTCTTCAATTCAGGTGAAAAACCTTATAAAAGTCAACAATTATTGGGTAATTTGAACCGGCGAAATTCACCACAAAGCTAAGGCTTGTGCGCCAGAGAGAGTTGTTTAGAAAAGAGTTGTTTAGAAATTGTACGAATACAAACGCACAAAGCACAAAGCATCACTAAGCTGAAGCATCACTAAGCTGAAGCATCACTAAGCTGAAGCATCACTAAGCTGAAGCATCACTAAGCTGAAGCATCACTAAAGCTACAGTACTTTTAAAAGCTTCAGTCTATTACAATTTTTTCTTTAAAACGTTAAAACGTTAAAACAAAGTCTCTCGAAATCAGTTTTGATTCAAGATTCAAAATTTCCCAAATTAGTTTTCGATTTGGTGTTTGGCAAATTCAAGAAAATCATCTCTATTCCAAGATCATTTATTTCTTGTTTCTTTGCCGTTTCTTTGCCGTTTATTTGCCAAATTTATATGTTTAGCGATTCACAGAGATATTTTCAGTGATCTTTTCAAGAAAACTTAAAGAAATATCCTTTTAGACGTTCTTTTAAACAAAAACGTCATTTATCTGTTCACCGAAAAGATCACCGAAAATCGAAAGATTGCGGGAAAAAAAGGAAAAACCCAGCGCTCATACCCCCGAGAAAATTTGCCGAACAGGGGAAATCGAGAAAAGATGAAAAGGTCACGAGAATCTTTTGGGGGAGAATTTTGAGGAATATAAATAGTACAACCCATTGGGAAGATCAGAGCAAATCTTTCAATCAGAACTTTATCCCGAAATGAACTCTCTTTTGGTGATCTTCTTGTTGGCAATGGTGGCTTTAACGACGGCTCAATGGGGTCAGTGCTTTTTGAGACATTCTTTCATTCTTTCTAGAACTTGTTTGATGCTAGATTAGTAGAAGTTTGTATAGGTATCTCTTTAAGAATCTAAGTAGGTCAAGAACTACCGTAAACCCAAAGAGGTCTAGACTAATGAGTCTAGACTAATGTAGGTCTAGACTAATGAGTGACTAATAGCTTTTTGGTAGCCCTGAGGTATACTATAATCCCTGGAGTATATAGTAGCCCTTAAGGTATCCTGAAGCATATGGCAGCTTGCAGGGTTATTGTCTTTGGGTTTACGGTAGTTCTTGACTTTACTGTAGTCCCTTGGGTTTACTGTAGTTCTCTGGGCTACGGTAGTCCTTGTACTTACTGTTGTTCCTAGGGTTACGGTAGTTCATGACTTTACTGTAGCCCTTGGGTATACGGTAGTCCTTGTGCTTACTGTAGTGCCTTGGATTACGGTAGTCCCTGGGTTTACTGTAGTCCTTGGGGTTACGGTAGTCCTTGTACTTACTGTAGTGCCTTGGGTTACAGTAATCTTTGGGTTTACTCTAGTCCTTGTGCTTACTGTAGTCCTTGGGTTACAGTAGTCCTTGGTGGCTACTGTAGCTCTTTGGGCTACGGTAGTCCTTGTGCTTACTGTAGTCCTTGGGGTTACGGTAGTCCTTGGTGGCTACTGTAGCTGTTTGGGCTACGGTAGTCCTTGTGCTTACTGTAGTTCCTAGGGTTACGGTAGTTCTTGACTCTACTGTAGTCCTTGGGTTTACTGTTAGCTTTTAATATTGTATAATCAGTGCATACGGATGTCATTATGGAATATGATAGCTCTTGTGGCCTACTGTAATCTCAGGATATCCCAGGGCTTCGCTGTAGTCCTCGAAGTATCCAATGAGCCTAGCATCAAACAAACTTTCTTGACAATGAGTACACAATACAACAAGTACTTTGAGAAAACTCATCACATAGCCATTTCTCTCTTACAGGCTGGCACCACCACCATCACCATCATCACCCATGGGGAATGGGATATGGAATGGGATATCCATACGGCGGCTATGGCGGAGGATATGGTGGATATGGTGGATACTATGGTGGATATTATGGAAAGAAATAGACACCAAAAACGAGAAGCGAATTGCTTTAAATCTATGTACATTTGCATTTCCCTTTTTTTTTTCTTATTTGTTATGTATAAAGGCTTTAAATTATGTTATCTTACGCATTGTTATCAAAACAAAAAAAAACTCTTGGGGAGTGGGACAAACGCGACCTTTTTTTTTGCGCACCCGGACATTTGCGCACCTTTTTTTCCGCACCTTGCCCATTAGCGCACCGTTTTGTCGCGTTTTAAAAAAGCTAATATTAACCTAAAGCTCTAAAAAGCTAATATTAACCAATTTCTATTCCAAAAGTTGTTTTTCTAGCTAATTTTAGGGCGTAGAATCGAAATTTTGACATATCAGAGCTTGTGGAAACAAACGGACCGAGTTATACAAAGAGAAAAATCGACAATTTCCTGTAATTTGATCTAGCCGTTTTGTTTTGATCTAGCGTCTTTCAAATTGGTTCCACACGCTCTGTTATGTCAAAATTTGAATTCGACACCCTAAAATTACCTAGAAAAACAACTTTTGGAATAGAAATTGGTTAATATTAGCTTTTTAGAGCTTTAGGTTAATATTAGCTTTTTTAAAACGCGACAAAACGGTGCGCTAATGGGCAAGGTGCGGAAAAAAAGGTGCGCAAATGTCCGGGTGCGCAAAAAAAAGGTCCCATTTGTCCCACTCCCAACTCTTGATTCAATCTTTTTCAAAAAAGAGATCATTTCAAAAGGCCGATCCGCGCAAACGCGATCCGCGTTACAGACGCGCGAAAGTGACGATCTTTTTTCAAATATGATATTTCATTGTCCAGACACGTACTGTATATATCAGACATCAGAAACAATTGAACGCTTACGTTTTTTCCTTTCAGCTAATGACGATAAATTCAGACTAAACAAAGCTTTTGCAACATTTCAACAAAACACTTTTTGATTCTACTAATCTCCTTCTTTTTCCTTCTCTCATCCTTTTCCATCATAAGTTTCCTTAAAACCTTCATCCGCTGCTTCAAACTTTCATCCGCGGCTTTCCTATTTTGCTACGCTTCTTTGGTTTACTCATTTTTGGGTATCTGAAAAAAGAAACAATTATTATGAAATGAAAATGAGAAAGTAAGCTCGTTAAAAGGAAGAAAAACGAGCTGTTAAAAGAAAGAAAAACGAACTACAAGAAAATCTACAAGATGAATTTTGATCATTTTTTTTCACCAATAAATTTTGGAGATTTTTCTGCGTCGAATGTAGATGTTGATCTGTAGTAGACTCAAGTCTGTAGATCGGATAGAAAACAATTTTTTTTTGCCTTATTCTGCGCGAAAGGTCACTGAGAGAAAACTGAAATCAAAATGGGATAGATTGATCTCTCAAAAAATCGCACTAAAAAAACTATTGGAAAACGGATATAAATGAAAGTAAATACCTGATAAAATACTTGAAAAGTTTTCGATTTTGAGCAAAATGAATTTCCTATTACTCGTATTTTTGTTGATTTCTTTGCTGGTTTTGATCGATGGTGAGTATTCAGGAATTGAAATGGCTTTGGAGTTGAAATGGCTTTGGAGTTGAAACTCTTGGATTTAAAAGTTTCAATTTTCTCCTTTGATTATCATTTTTTGCTTAAGTTTTCGAGAATTGTATATGTCGAAGCCGTTTACGAAATTCAGTCGCTATCGAATGATTCGTTAGCCTAGCCGCTAACCGTTAGTGGCCAACCGTTAGTGGCTAACCGTTAGTGGCTAACCGTTAGTGGCTAACCGTTATTGGCCAACCGTTAGTGGCTAACCGTTAGTGGCTAACCGTTAGTGGCCAGCCGTTAGTGGCTAACCGTTAATGGCCTAAGCCTTAGCCACTAACGGTTAACCATTAACGGTTAGCCGTTAATCGTTAGCCACTAATCGTTAGCTACAATCACACTAATCACTACACCATGACTGTCGATGAAAGGGGTCGCGTAAACTCGCCCCAAGACTGTATAAGGCTAGCCGTTTACGAGTGATTCGTTAACGGCTGAATTTCGTAAACGGCTACGACATATATAATTTTCGGGTACTTGTCAATGTCCAATGTGTTGGTTTAGAAGTCAGGTCTTGCTTGATCTGATCTGGGACGACTTTGCTGTAAATCTAATTTACAAAAGTCTTGATAGTGAGTCTAAAAAAGCAGGCTTGAACCTAAGAGTGCTAGGTTTTTGTGAAAATTTGTGAAAATCAAAAAAACTGTGAAAAAGGTGAGTGAGGGATTCGAACCCAAGACAAAGGAGACTCCAGAGACCCCTCGTCCGATCACACTAACCACTACACCACGACTGTCAATGAAGCGGGTCGCGTAAACTCGCCCCAAGACTGTATCAGAAAACATTTGTCATCGATTACCACAATTTGTCTTAAAGTCACAATGTTTAGCCCGTTTCCACTCGCATCATTTCGGCGGTTTCCACCACCATCATTTTGGCGGCTTTGGGCATCATTACGGTGGATGGGGATGGGGAAAAAAATAAGAAATCACCGCCTTTTTCTTTTTCCAAATCAATAAACATTCTCGAACGAAAAAACCCACCAACAACTGCTGAGAATCGCGTAATGACCGGCTTTAGTCACATTGTACATTTCGCTGTACACTTCGGATAGGGTTGATCCCTTCCACACGTGAGCGATCGTGTTTTCTTGCTAAAGTCAATCAATTTATTGCTAAAGTCAATCAATTTATTGCTAAAGTCAATCAATTTAAGGGTTTACAGTATGCCTAGATTTAGGAATACTGTAAACCCGACACGTTGACGACATTGTCACCTGATGCTGTCTGACACATATTCGTTCGCCTGGGACATTGTCACCTGATGTCAGGTGTCAGTAATTTGTTATAACATAATAGATATAAGAACAATAAGAGCTACAACTAACAAGGGAGTCTGTGGCCTTTTGCTACGAGCTATAGCTTATTTGAAGCGTCTCTTCGAGAGGATTCAGAATCCGAATTCCGTTTTTGTTACTGACTTGTAGTACGCGAGGCCCTGAAAAAGTTGGTGCAAAAATAATGGTCAAAATCTTTTCCTCGAGACCCCTAGGAATCAGATTCAAGCATGTCAGACGCCTCTAACTTGCCAAACTGTTACTACTTCGAGAGAAAAATGTAGAATTTTGCACGCGTCATATAAAGTGAGCCTGGGACTGAAACGGATGGCACTTCGACAAATTAGAGGAGTCTGACGCGTAAAGGCAGATTCTCAAAAATTGTTCAAGTTCTTTTACAGAGACGTCTGTCCATTCCTTTTTTTTCTCGGTCATTTTCTGGAGGACATATGCTGTAGCTTCCTCTTAAATACTGTAGCTTCCCCATAAATGCTGTAGCTTCCCCGTAAATGCTGTAGCTTCCCCGTAAATGCTGTAGCTTCCCTTTAAATGCTGTAGCTTCCCCTTAAATACTGTAGCTTCCCCGTAAATGCTTTAGCTTTCCCTTAAATACTGTAGCTTTAGAGCACTTTTTAGAAAACGATCAATGAAAAGCTTTTCAATCGCTCACTCACCGGCACATTTTGATCCAGCACCTCTTGCCAGACAATTTTCTTTGTCCCATTTCGAACAGAGTCAATAATATCGAAAAATCTAGAAGTACAATTCTAGAAGATTCTAGAAAAAAACTAGAATAAAAGCCTTAAACAAAAAGAATTTCGAACTTCTGCCAATAATAGTTGAGCAGCTTTCCGGTGTCGGATCCAACGCCAAGTTGCTGCATTCTTGCACGAACTTGCGGATTATTGTACCTGAAGTTACAACAGTACCTGAGTTTGAGTAGTCTTTGATTGTAAATGATTTGAATAACTTTGATACTGTGCTTTGTACTTTGTACTCTGTACTTTGTACTGTGTGCTTTGTACTTTGTACTTTGGACTTTGGACTTTGTACTTTGTAAATAATACTTTGATGATGAGTAGACTTTGATCGGAAATAAAGACTAGATTGTGGGACATTGACAGCTTTGAGCTCAAATCCAACTTTAACTTCAAATCCCTTTGCCTTTGGGCCATCGGCCAACCTTTTATACGCACCCCGCCCCCTTTGCCATTGGCAATCTAGCTTTAAGCTCAAATATCTTGGTGTTGAGCGGTCCAATTTAAATAATTTTTGCAACAATCGATAGAGGAACACTTTGCGCATCTAATGATACCAAAAATATTCAAATTGAACAACCCAACATCAAGAAATTTGAGCTCAAAGTTAGATTGCTGGGCTAACGGCTAACGTTAGCTGGCTAATGCTAATGGCAAATCAAATATCAGAAAACCTAGAAATTAGATGATTTTTGAAGGATTTTGATTTCATTTCTGAATTTCAATAAAATTTCAAACGAACTCTCACCAACAATCAGTCATATCCTCTAAAACTTCATCTCCACCAAAATGCATGTACTCATCGGGGAACATTTGAAGAGCTTCACCAAAGAAACCCTTCAAGAAGTCGAGATTCGCTTGCAGCGTTGGATCGAGAATATTGGGAAGGATTGACGGTTTTCCATTGCTGTCATAACATTGTGAGACCAGGTTCGGCACACCGTAACCCCAAGAACCAGTGTGGCCTGGAATTAAGTTTATTGTTAGAAACTGAGCCTCATAGTCTCATAGTCTCATAGTCTCATAGTCTCAGTCTCAGTCTCAGTCTCAGTCTCAGTCTCAATCTCAGTCTCAGTCTCAGTCTCAGTCTCAGTCTCAGTCTCAGTCTCAGTCTCAGTCTCAGTCTCATCAACCTTTACCAAGCATAAACCCAAACTTTCTAGCATACTCATAGCGGGGAAATCTCTCTATTTTGCACTCACCAGGCGTATCAAACTCAGCCACCACCCGAATTCCCCGGAGTCTCGCGTAGTCGATCACTTTTTTCACATCATCCACTGTGTATTGATGCTTTGGACTATAAGCTCCCTAAGAGGAAAATAAGAAAAATTTTTCATCTTTTCAACTTTAATACCTTTGCTGTAATGTCTGGATATCGAATCGATGGATAGGGAAACGCTTCCGAGTCAACGATATGCCAATGAAAGACGTTCATCTTGTTTTGAGCCATTAGATCCTAGAATCAAGTTCTAGAAGTGGATCAAGGTCTAGAAGTGGATCAAGTTCTGGAAGTGGATCAAGTTCTAGAAGGGGATCAACTTCTAGAAGTGGATCAAGCTCTAGAAGTGGATCAAGTTCTAGAAGTGGATCAAGCTCTCGAAGAAAAACTGTGATTACCAAGTTTTGCAAAAGTGTTCCAACGGGAATGAAATGTCGACTCGTGTCCACCATGATTCCTCTCCACGGGAAACGAGCTTTGTCGGTGACGTTCGCCGTGCGGACCATGTACTAGAGAAGCTTACGATCAATACTGGTACTTAAAGCCAGCCACTTATAGCCAGGCATTAATCATTAATCACTTATCGCCTTCTAATCTAAACCTAATAGCAAACAAGCTACGGATTGTTGTCAAGATCGAGCTTTCACATGATCGAGCTTTCAACTGATCGAGCTTTCATAAATCAAGATAGAGTTTTCTGATAGGCCATCTGATAGAGTTTTCATCGGGGATTCTGAATCTGCTGCTAGTTTTTCTGGAACGTTTCTGTAACGCGAAATATTTCACATACAATTTGACATAAAATTTGACCTTTTTCAGCTCGCTTGCAAGCTTTTCTCATTGTTTAAAACCCTAAAAAATCGTTTTTAATAATTAAGCAAAAAGTGTGGGCAGTGAAAGGATTCGAACCAGGAGCAACAGCCATCAGCCATCAGCCAAGTGGCCACACTAGCCACTAGGCCATCAGCTTGTAAACCAGTCGACAAAAGGCCATTTTCTGTACCAAATTTGCCAATTGCCAGATTTTCTATGCCAAATATCTAGCGTTACAGAAACGTTCCGGAAAAACTAACAGCAGATCCAGAATCCCCGATGAAAACTCTATCAGATGGGCCAGAGCTCATATGAAAAATCGATCTTGATATAATAGCAAACTAGCTACGGATTGTTGTCAAGATCGAGCTTTCACATGAGCTTGATTTGATAATATTCCCTAGTAAGGACTAGACTTGGTCAGAGTCTGGCCAGTAACCAAATCAAAGTCCAGTCAGAAGACAGGCCCCGGATTCTGGCTAGTTTTTGTGGATCAGCCGACTCATTGGTTTCAATTTGAAGTCGTTCAATTTGAAGTCGTTCAATTTGAAGGCGTTCAATTTGAAGGCGTTCAATTTGAAGGCGTTCAATTTGAAGGCGTTCAATTTGAAGGCGTTCAATTTGAAGGCGTTCAATTTGAAGGCGTTCAATTTGAATTCAAATTGAGATAACAAAGTTTATTTAAAAGCTAAATATCTAACAATTGACTAATAACAAACCACATTATCTTTGGGAAGAAAAACAAGATGACTGAATGTTTCGATAGCTCGCAGCGCTCCCCAAACCTGGAAATGAGTGAAAACTATTCAATAAGCTATTCAATAAGCTATTCAACAAATATTCAACAAATATTCAATAAAATATTCAATAAAATATTCAATAAAATATTCAACAAATATTCAATAAAACTTGAAAAACTTACTTGATTTGCCTGAATGATGCCAATGCCGTTTGCGCTGGTGACTGATAGGGAATCTAGAGAATTTTCTATAATCTTTTATAGAATATTGATTTCTTTTTCTCAGTGATACCTTTCTTTCAACTTTAAAGTCTTTAAAAATTAATCGGTTTTAAAGGAAAGTATTTTCAAATTCAAATTCAAATTCAAATTCAAATTCTCTTACAACTCTCATCCATGTCAAATGTCGGGACACCGGTTGGGCAACTCGAGGCCACGTTGATGATGATCGAGGTGAGTGTCCCTTGATCTCCTTGATATGTTGCCTGAAAAAGAATTTCTTTTACAATAGATTGTAATAAGCTATCGAGGCTAGAAAGTCTTTTGTTTAAAATCAATAAATCAAAATTGAAATACGGTTTGTTTTAAGAAAATCACTTTTCACTTTTAAGAAAAAAACTTTCACTAAGAAAATCACTTTTCTCAGCCTCTAGATTTTCCCCACGTACACTTTTACAACTAAGCTTTGTTACCAAAAAATACTAGATTTCAAGGGCTATCATTTGACACCATTTAGCACACTGTAGCTTAAAGCAGTGCGGAGAACGGAGCGTGTAAAGTTAGACTACGCGGCAATACCCCGTCATTATGGGGAGCTACTATTCGAGGTAGTACGGTAAGCTATCTAGCTATCTAGCTAACTTGCCAAGAGAAGGAGGGAAAGACAAGGGGGAAGAAGAAGAAAGAAAGAAAGAAAGAAAGAAAGAAAGAAAGAAAGAAGAAAGAAAGCCTTTTCTCAGCCTCTAGATTCTCCCCACGTACACTTTTACAACTACGATTTGTTACCAAAAAATACTAGATTTTAAGGGCTATCATTTGACACCATTTAGCACACTGTAGCTTAAAGCAGCGCGGAGAATGGGAGGTTTAAAGTTTAAGACTACGCCATTGTACACCCGTCTACGTGGCGGTCTATTAGAGGATTTACGGCCAGATCTCTAGATTAAACTCAATCTCACAGCATTGAAGCCGGGGAAAGCGAGCGTGCGATATCGTTGAATCGCTTTGTCGATGATGTCACAGCCGGGGGTTTTTGCCTGAAATCAAAAATAATCACCAAAAGCCATTGGTTGGCTTGATTGGCTTGATTCTCAGCTCAATAGCTCTGGCCTTTCTAAATCTTTCTGAGAATCAAGCCAATCTCCTGAATATCTTTCTAATTCTATTAGAATCTATAGAAAAATTTATCCATCCGAATCTAGCCGACGGGATTGAACCCTTGACCTCCCGATTGATCTCTGGCAATTCCGATTGACCGATTGACTAAGATACAAGGCTCTTAACCAGTCGGCTGTGAAATCGAATTGTCGGGTTAATTAAAGATTAAAGAGATTAAAGACTTAAGTCTTAAGACTTAAAGTCTTAAGACTTTCTTAAAGACTTAAAGAGATTTTTGGCCTTTCGAGAACGGTTTTTTCGATAACGAGATCTTTAGAGATCTCGATTTCATCTTTAGAGCTCATCTATTTCATCTTTAGAGCTCTGTGATCCTTTGAACCGACTTGCAAACGAAACAGTGACGGATTCACAGTGTGATTCCCAGGGAAATAAGTGATCTGCCATGGGAGAGGCCAAACGCCACCACTAAATTTCAAGTTTTTGCTTTTTTCTTTCGTAGATTCTTAATGTAAATTGTAATGTGTAAGTGTAATTGAAAAGTTTGTCAAAATTTTGTCTTTGTCTTTGTCAAAGCTTTGTCAAAACTCAAAACTTTCAAAACTCAAAACTTTCAAAGCTCCTCACGTTGTCCAAGCATTTGGCTCGGCTCTTCCATAATACCAAGCATTGATTGTTATGAAAAAGGTGAAAAATATTGTACAAAGTAGAAAGATTTGCATGTTTTTTTTGAATATGAAGCACGAAATGAAATGAAAATGAAAACAAATCAGAGAATTTTCAAGGTCGCTATTTGAAAAGCGATAATTCGACCACTTTACTGATAAGAATCGCCTCGAAAACTTTTAAACTAACGGCCGAATCATTGAAACTAATAGAAATGGAAAAAGGGAGTTCTTAAAACAAAATTTTCATCAATAAAAGAAAAGTTTTTTGTTTTATTTTGCTGTTTTTGTTTGGTTGAATTTATTCAAAAAGAAATTGAAGTAATCTATGAGAATAAGAGTCAGAAGTCAGTCAGAAGAACAGGAATTTGGGGTCAGCCATAGATCATCCCATGCAGAATTTTACGCTGATTCCGAATCTGTTTTCCTTTTTTGAAATGGAGCATTCTATCAAAAGTTATGTGTGCAAAGTTTTGAATGAGATTTTGGAAGTTTAAGTTTTCGTTTTCGAGTTTATAAGCAGTTTTCTCAGGGGCCTGGAGAAGCAGTGATGGCTCAGTGGCAGTCGGCTAGAATACAAAGGGGGACCTCGCTGGTTCGATTCCGACCTTCGACTTTTTCTCTTTGCTTTTTTTCGATTTGTAAAGCGACTTGTTCTCATAATTGACAGACTAATTGTAAGTAATTGTAAGTGTTTGCAAAAGTGGACAGGATCAGATTAGGGCTAGATCAGGGCTAGATCAATGTCTCGTCAAGTACAAATCACTGTGAAACAAAGCATTTTGGACGCTTTTAAGCTCAAAAAGATTTCTCCAAATCTCCAAAAACTCAACTCTTAAAGAATCCACTCCAGCAGAGACCATCTATGGCAAAGTGATCGTTTGGCAATCTTTTGTGTGCAAATTCTTTTCTGAAACGCCGCCGATGAGACTGAGCAAATAAGCGCCAGAAATTGATGAGACGCCTCTTATTTTGATAGAGTCTTTGAATCAGAACAGACACGGAAGAGGCTGGGGGAGAAAAGGGAAGAAAAGGGAAGAAAAGGGAAGAAAAAGAAGACCAGTTCTCTCGTTTATTCATCATTTCTTCTCGATAATCTTCACGGAGAAATTTCTGGATTCGATTCCACGAGAAAGGTCTTCACGTATATGGAATTGAATGGAAATCGAGAGATTTGAAGATTTTTCGTCGATTCAATTCAATAGAAATCGAGGATGTGAAGAGACTGAAGAGACAAAAGCAAGACTAAAGCAAGAAGCAAGCAAAAAATCAGAGATCAGGCATTCTATATTGTTAGCCACACCCCGCTAGCCATTTGATGATAAGCTTTTAGATTGAGCCATAGTTAAGTTCAAAATTGGTAACCAAAAGCCAAGAAATCTCTTAGAATGAGATTTGGAAATTTTCTATGAGAAAGAGCAGTAATTTGAGTTTACCGTATTCTCTCTAATAGTAGTGCATCGTAAGCTAAATTCCTCGAAATCTCAAGAACCGCAGAACCTATCGATGTGGGGTCGGAAAATGTAGCTGACGATGAGATCTAGTGGGGGATTAGAGGATTGAGCTTCTGTGAAAGCTTGAGAACTGTAAAATAGTCACCAACTCGGCCGGCTCTACTATTAGAGAGAAACGGTAGGTTCGGTAAGCCAGTTCAAGCTTGATTGGTCTAGTTTTGGTTTGATTTGGTTAGGTGGTTGGCTTTAAAGCGGCCTTGATAAGCTTGGCTTAGCTCATGCGCATAGCTCAATATGGTTTTCCTTGACAGACAGACAGACAGACAGACAAGCAGACAGACAGACAGACAGACAGACGGACAGACAGACAGACAGACAGACAGACAAGCAGACAGACAGACAGACAGACAGACAGACAAGCAGACAGACGGACAGACAGACAGACAGACAGACAGACAGACAGATAAACAGACAGACGTCTTCGTCCCTTTATATATCGATATTCTAATCTAGCAAAGAACATTGCGCCTTTCAATCATGTCACAAAACTCTCAGCTTTACGGACTTCTCCCCACAAATCCTCTAGGAAAGCAGTGAACTATTAGAGAGAATATCCTAAAAATGATGAATGAACAATCGTTTAAATCTAAACGATCAATGAACAATATAAAGTTCATCTATCAATGAACTTTATATTGTTTCTCTGAAAGTTTCAGAAATTTTATTATTTTCAATGATTGAGTTATGATTTAGATTGAAAAAAGTTACTTTTAAAAAAAAATTCTTATTTCTTTTGTCTCTTCTTTTCTTTCTTCTTCTTCTTCTTCTTCTTTTCTTTCTTCCAAAAAGCTGTTAGTTTTTAAAGAATCTCTCTCTCTCTCTCTCTCTATTCTATCGTTCAATCAGTAGAATTGAAGGGCATTCATCGCTTGATGGATTCCATCGAGAATCTCCGATTGTTTCCTCCGTTTTGATGGCCGGATATCCTCGCTCCGAAATGATGTCGAGGGTGACAGCGATTATCGAATGTTTGCACACTTTTTTTTTGCTTCAATCGTTTAGCTTTCATGTGCTCCCCCCGTTTTCCCGCCGATTTTCATGATCCGGTAAACAATGAATGCTTTTTCATCATTCATGAATTCAATTCAATATGATAGAAAAAAAAGGCTGGCTTCTTTCAAAAGCAAGACAAAAGCAAGACAAAAGCAAGACTAAAACAAGACAAAAGCAAGAAGCAAGCAAAAAATCAGCGAGCAGGTATTCTATATTGTTAGCCACACCCCGCTAGCCATCAAAATCATCGAGAAATTGAGCTCCAAAGTTGGAGTCTCACTGTGACACTCTCGATGATTTTGGTGGCTAGCGGGGTGTCCAAATGGCACATTAACAGGTCAGAATTTGATCAAGAATTGAATGGTGCCATTTGCGGAATGATTTGGGCGATTTTTCCCATATTATCATAAAGATATTCTTGATTTTCACAAATTCTTCAACGATTTCTTCAACGATTCTTCTACAATTCAATTGCACAAATTCTTATATAATTTATTTACAAAATAACGATTCGGAAAATCTTCCTCATAGAGATTCTTACATGTGAAGATTCTTACAATTATATAAGAATTCCCCCTGTTCAACTTTTGTCAAAAAAACCAAAATAAGGAAAAGTTCGTCAATTGGCCGACTCGAACCAGGAAGGTCAGTCTTATAGACGAACGCACCAGCCACTAGACCATGATCACCTTTGGGGTGCAAGCGTAAACTCGGGATTGATAGAGATTAAACTGATTAAACTCAGTTTAGGAGTAACAGCTTTGATGTGAGAAATCTCGCATTTTAGAGCTATTCAACAGATTTTGATTACAGATTTGGATTGCCCGTTCGATTTTTTATCTAGGCCTGGTTCTAGGGCTAGGCCTCGTTCGAGGGTTAGGCCTCGTTCTAGGGTTAGGCCTCGTCCTAGGGTTAGGCCTAGTTCTAGGGCTTGGCCTAGTTCTAGAGCTAGACCTCGTTCTAGTGCTAGACCTCGTTCTAGAGATAGAGACCTCGTTCTAGAGCTAGGCCTCGTCCTAGGGCTATGCCTCGTCCTAGGGCTATGCCTCGTTCTAGAGCTAGACCTCGTTCTAGAGCTAGGCCTCGTCCTAGGGCTAGGCCTCCTTTCTAAATCCAAACTAACCCTTCGAAGCTCTGACTTTACTTCTCGGATAATCGCTTGCTATTGTTTCAATCTTACAGTAAGCCTATAAGTAATACAGTGTCTAAAACAAGTTCAACAATGTTTCCATTCATTCGCTTATGACTCCCGTTCACCACAATCATCTAGTGTTCCCTTTACGTAACAAATAAACAAATAAAGTCTTTGCTTGTTCTTTTCCCAAGAACAAGACCAGACTATGTTTTTTCCTGTAACATTTTGACGCCACTCATAATCTCTGGACACGTTATGGTCAAAAAAAGAAAGAAAAAAGCGGTCTTTGTTTGAAGAAGAAAAAGATAGACCAAGAAAAGACTCGGTTCCTTTTCTTTCTTTTCTTTCTTTTCTTTCTTTTCTTTTCATTCACAAATCTCTCGATTTCTCCGCCCATCCATCCCCCAATCGTAGAGGTGTCCATTTGGGACATTTTCGTGCCATTGTGCTTACCAGATCGTCGTTTATTCCTCATGAAAATGCCACGACCTTTGCCTACTCTTCTAGCCACTGCGTTAATGCTTTTGGTGAGTTTTCAATGGAGTTACTGTAAAAGAAAACCACCTAAGCCAAGCCAAAAATTTATTGTAATTGAAGAACAAAGTTTTGAAAGTCAAATAGTCTAATAGTCAAATCACTTTTGACAGCTCTGTTAGTCCTTGCAATGCTTCAGGACTTCAGGTGTATTTTGGCTGAAAGGCATTGAGTGAAAGTTCTTAAAGTTCTGGCAAGTTTGAGAATCTTGATCTACAGTCAGAAATGTTTACATTTTTCGAGAGCTTTTTTCCATGTAATTAGTACTAAACTATTCCAGAGTACTGTAATTCCAGCTTTACTAGAAAGTACGGTAATTCCAGCTTTACTAGAAAGTACGGTAACTCCAGCTTTACTAGAAAGTACGGTAATTCCAGCTTTACTAGAAAGTACGGTAATTCCAGCTTTACTAGAGCTGTTCATTTTCGATCTGATTGTCGATAGGTGTATAAAGGAAAAGATTTGCATAAAGGAAAAGATTCAATGGTTATTTTTTTAGCGTTTTTTAAACCATAGAGCTTGGAGAATTCTACCTTTTTTTAGAGACGTTGAAAAGTAGTCGTTCTAGTGGTTAAATCTCGTTTTCCGTTGTACATTTATCGACAATTAGGCTAAAACAGTTCTAAAAAACTAAAGCAGTTAGGCTAAAACAGTTCTATACGGTGCTGTAAAGTCTATTTAATCCGATTAGTCTATTTCAGGCTTTCACCGAAGCTCTCGATATTTGTAAATACTATGAAATGACTGGAAAACTTCATGAACATCCCGAATGTCTGAAAGGAGCACCGCCTGAAGTGGTTTGTCTTTTTGAAAAGAAAACTAATAGAATATGGATATTTAATCAAATCTAATATGGTTATTTAATCAAATTAATATGACTATTTACTCAAATCTAATGTTTGTCAAATGTTAAATATGATTATTTCATCAAATCTAATGTTAATCTAATCTTAATCTAATCTTAATCTAGATCTTAATCTAATATTAATCTAGATCTTAAACTAGATCTTAACCTAGATCTTAATCTAGATCTTAAACTAGATCTAAATCTAGATCTTAAACTAGATCTTAAACTAGATCTTAATCTAGATCTTAACCTCTAAATCTAATTAATCTAATTTTAATCTAGTCTTAATCTAGTCTTAACCTAGATCTTAATCTAGATCTTAAACTAGATCTTAACCTAGATCTAAATCTAGATCTTAACCTCTAAATCTAATTAATCTAATCTTAATCTAGTCTTAATCTAGTCTTAACCTAGATCTAAATCTAGATCTAAATCTAGATCTTAACCTCTAAATCTAATTAATCTAATCTTAATCTAATCTTAATCTAATCCCAAATCAGCCAATGATTAAAATTGATTCAATAAGATTTAAATCTTCAATTAAAATCCGTCAAACAACGTCAAACAACAACAACAATCTTTGATTAACATTGATTTATGCTTAAAATTTATCTAATAACATTTAAAACTAACATTTAAAACCAACTTTTAGAAGAAAACCCGAAAGCTCAGCACGGTAAGGTGTTCAGAATGTTCAGATTTATGTTCAGAGTTTTTGATTTATGTTCAGAATTTTTGATTTATTGTAAATGAGCAATTCTCAGTCTAATTTGGTTATTTTTTTCAGTTAATCAGCTTCAGTTTTATTTTTGAAAAGCTTTTTAAAAAGCTTTTTGAAAGTCTTTTTGAAAGTCTTTTTTGCAAGAAATATTCTTATACTCTTATATTCTTATCTTCTTATATTCTTATATTCTTTAGCTCGAGAAGATCTTCTCAACAACTGAGGGCTCAGCTTCGACAAGGCTAATCGCATCGACGAAACCACCACTCGGATTTTGTCCAAGGTCAGGAAAATGGTCTTTGTTTAAAGAAAAATGTTGTCTTTTCTGGTTGAATAATGTTATTAAAATAATAAAAAAGCTTGAACATGTCAAAATTGGGAATTCTTTTATGCTTAAACTTTGTCCGTTTCAAAATCGATTCTCAAACTCTAAAATATACCAAGTAACCAAAAAAAAAAAGCGTTAACACGAATTTTGTCGCCAATTAAGCTGAAAATAAACATCCAGGGGTTTTCAGGCACGCTGAATCCGAATCTAATATTAGTTTTTTTAAAATAATATACTAAAATTGATATAATAAAGAAGAAGATAAAAGAAGATAATAAAATAAATTGTGTACATGGGATTATTTTGGCTAGAAATCCTCAAAACTCTCTTCAAGTAAACGATTTTATAATCTTTTTTAGTTATAAAGTGATTTTTTTAAACATTTACATACCAAAAACCTAAGCTGCTTTCTTAGAAATTTCGGGAGTGAGACAAATGCGACCTTTTTTTGCGCACCCGGACATTTGCACACCTTTTTTTCCGCACTTAGCCCATTAGCGCACCTTTTTTTCGCGTTTTAAAAAGCTAATATTAACCTAAAGCTCTAAAAAGCTAATATTAACCAATTTCTATTCGAAAAGTTGTTTTTCTAGGTAATTTTAGGGCGTAGAATCGAAATTTTGACATATTAGAGCTTGTGGAAACAAATGGACGGAGTTATACAAAGAGAAAAATCGACAATTTTCTGTAATTTGATCTAGCCGTTTTGTTTTGATCTAGCGTCTTTCAAATTGGTTCCACACGCTCTGTTATGTCAAAATTTCGATTCTACGCCCTAAAATTACCTAGAAAAACAACTTTTGGAATAGAAATTGGTTAATATTAGCTTTTTAGAGCTTTAGGTTAATATCAGCTTTTTTAAAACGCGAAAAAAGGTGCGCTAATGGGCCAAGTGCGCAAAAAAAGGTGCGCAAATGTCCGGGTGCGCAAAAAAAGGGGTCGCATTTGTCCCACTCCCGAAATTTTAATTTTTAACGAAACTTTTAACGAAACAACTTTGGCTATAGTTTAGATCCTTTAAACTCTTTCTCTGAACATCCAATTGACGTTAAACTAAAGCCAAAATCAAAGCAAATCTCCTTTTTTACAAAAAACAATGAGTTTAGAACTTAAAAAGTTTACATTTTAACTTTAAAATTGATTTAAAATCAATTTTTGGCGAGTTAACGAACTTTAGAAGCTCTTATAAAATTTTCTACTAAACTAATTTCGTTATTTTTATTATGAAAATGTTGAGAAATATCTCTAGTTTTAATATCAGAAAAGAGATCGCAAAAAGATTGAATCTAAAAAAAGTTATGAATTTTTTTCGGATAGAAGTATTTGGATAGACTCAGTATTTGAGGCAAATGTGCGTTCTTTCCATGTGGCTCGTAAGAAAAAGTGGCATCTGGCACACTGCCGGGGTATGAGCTCGGCGAAACTTGGGTAATTAAACCAGGCCAAAAAAATCGGGTTAACAGGAAATGCCTAGTCTTCCCCAGCAGCCTAGACTACAGCAGCAGATCCCCCAGCCCGCAGGCACAAATTTAGACGGCGCTTCTTTATATTTAACTACGGAATACTACTGATTCCGGCATTTTGAAAAAACTAACATTTTTATTGAAATTTTATTGTAGACACAGATTGTAAACGAACAATTCTCTTGTTCAGCTCAGCCGCCTTGATCCAGTGCACAGCCGACCTTCAAGTGTGCCCATTGTCCGGTCAAATCTGTGTGCAAAGTGATGGGAATAAATGTTGCCAGATTGTCACTGCTGGTAGTTGTTTTTCTACTTGTAATTTGAGCTTTTTCTTTGATTAGAGCTATTTTAAAATGTACGTTTCCTAGGAATCCCTGCCTCAGAGATCAACGCGAAATCGGGAAGCTGTCCACGACCTTTGGGCATCTCTGTTCTTCAGGTGGTTTTAGAATCTATAGCTAACTAAGCTAACTAAGCTAATCTGTAGCTAACTAACTAGCTCAGGCTCAGCTACCAGAATTGTAGCTAACTTGGCTACAGGGCTGATCACTAGCAAGACCAGGGCTAAGCTCAAAAGTTACCCTAACCCACAAGCCTCTATCCATGCTAGGGCCAAGCCTGAAGCCAGATCCGCTTCTGATAGACCCCGGACTACAAGACAAGCGATAAAACCAAGGCAGACAAGACCAGAAGCCGACCAGAAGCCGACCAGAAGCCAAGCCAGTTTTTGGCTTCTGGTTCTAGCCTGGCTTAGGCTCAGGCTCAAGAATTTGGCTAAGAAAAATGGCTTCAGAACAGCTTGAGGTACCCTATAGAACCAAACTTGGACCAGATTTGCTTGGCTCGCCGAAATGGTGACTCTTTAAAGAATCCTGGTACATATTTTGATATCAACAGTACTCAACACTTTAACTGGAGCCCAAATAAAAAAACTGGAGCCCCATCTTGCTAAAACAAACACTTTAACTGGAGCCCCATCTGGCTTTACTTTGACAAATCGCAACTAGATCCATCTGAATCTGGCTGGAAAGCTAAACGATTTCTAAAATCCCATTTCCAGGACACAACAATCGGCTGCTGGTTGGACTCGAATTGTCCGGGGATTCAAAAGTGCTGTGTTGAGCCGAATCCGGTCACCAACTCAGCCACGAGAATCTGCCGGGATCCAGTCGGAATCAGTAGTGAGTTTGGTGCGTGCTTTTGTGGTGGTTTTTTTTTGGTTATCTTCTACATCTATATTTTCTCTTTTGTTGTAGTCTTGTGGTGGAAAGCTTTCGATGACTCTGCTAACTCATCTTAAGGTTCAGGCAGCTCTATTTGCAATCAGCCGCTAGCTGTCGGATCATGCACTGCACCAACCGCTAGATATTATTATGATGCTGGAGCTGGGCGGTGAGTCGGTGTTTCTGAGATGTACTTTGTGCTCAAGTAAACACACCCCTGGCGCACTCAAGCAATGCTGTGAGCAATGCGCCAAAGGGAGCATGCTTCTATTTGAGCACAAAGTACACAAGTACCGTAATCTATTACCGTAATCGACTACCGTAATCGACTACCGTAATCGACTACTGTAATCGACTACTGTAATCCATTACCGTAATCTATTACCGTAACCTACCCCCTTTTTAGCTGCACTCAATTCATGTACTCGGGCTGTGGAGGCAATGCAAACAATTTCCAATCGTTGTCCAGCTGTCAAGCGACTTGCGGAAGCAGTGGTGAGTATCTTACTGTAATAAGCTCCAATATATTACTGTAACAAGCTCCAATATATTACTGTAACAAGTACTATAAGATAGAAATTCCATTGTCGAACAGCTAGTCTACTATAAAAGTCGATTTCTAGGTTCAACAGGCACTTTGAAGACTAAGATTTGTCCCAAGAATGCTCAAGATTTCCCTCATTCCCTCAAGAGCTCAAGCTTGCGCCTAGATTGCCCCTAGATCACTGTCGAAAGTGTCAAGAAATAGGAAAACCCATTGTCAACTGGCTAGCCTTCAATATTCACCGATTTTCCAGGCATCACCGGCACTCCGTCGTGTCCAGCTGACGCAAATTCTGGCCTGAATTGCCTCTTCGCGCACGCGGACGCTTGCAACACCGATTCGGATTGCTTAGGCCGAGAAAACACCCAGCAACCCTCATGCTGTATGACAACTTGTGGATACAAAATCTGTTATCAATACTAAGCATTCTCTATTTCCTTTTGCTGTGATTTTCAAAAAAACTCCCATTGTGGCTCGTTCGAGCTCTCGTTGGGATCGTGCGGCTCGTTTGGCGCCAGTGCTAGCCAGTGCTAGTGCTAGCCACTTGCTAGCACCAAGCAAGCCACCAAATTTCGTGTTTGCCTAAATTCCCCTATTTATACCTCATCAATCTCAACCCCTTCAACGGGCTAAATGCTAATTTATTGTGCTTTTACAAATATTTATTAAATAAATGACAAAATTTCCCGCACTACATTAAAAAAAATCAAAAAACTAGTTAATAAAATTGAATTTTTCAAAAAAAAATCTAGAAAATTGAGCTAAATTTTTGAAAGAATTTTCAATTTCGCTTAGCAAATTCACTATTTTTTGATAGCTAAATCATTTTAAAATCTCAGGAAATTATAAAACTAAAATCTCCTACCTAAAATCTAAAATATGGCACGATTTTGCATTTTGATTTTGCAAAAATCTTTTACAAAGAGCACCAAAATAATATAAAGAAATTAGGGGAAAAATTAGAAAATAGGGTAAGAATGGAAAAGGTTTTAGCTTTAGGTTTTAGTTTTACGTCTTAGTTTCGAATCTTTTCTATTCTTTTGTCTCGTTCTCCGTGCCAGGCACTCCTTCGTATGGAGCCGGCAATTTCTCCACGTTTGGCTCGATTCCCCAGATCTCACGAGCGTATTCTGAAAAAAATAATAAATAAAGCTTGATTGGAGTAATGAATCTTGAGAAAATTTATGTAGAAAGGAAATCGGTTTATCAATGATTTATCCGGTATTAAACGAGGAAATCAGATTTGCAAGCGTTTCAACCTTAAGTAATGCAGCGGTTTTAGTTTAGATTTACGGATTTGCCTTGATTTTGCAAAAACAATGGACAAGTCTGGAAAAACGGCTGAGGGGAGAAAAGGGGAGAAAAGGGCTAGTGTGCGAAAACGGTTGATTACAGAAAACGCCCTGCTTAAAGATTCGAAAAGCGAAGAGCTAGCTATCTATCTTCGACGTGTGCCAGATCGCGAGCGATTACTAGCCCGCACAAAGAACAGTCATTGGGATCTTGGGTGAAAAGGGTTGATGAGAGAAAACGTCTTAAAGGCCCCAAAAACGAAGAGCTAACATCTATCTTGGACATATGCCAGATCGCGAGCGATTACTTGCCCGCACAAAGAACACTCATTGAGATCTTTGGTGAAAAGGGTTGATTACAGACAACGCCCTGCTTAAACCCTGCAAAAACGAAGAGCTATCCATCTTTCACGTGTGCCAGATCGCGAGCGATTACTAGCCCGCACAAAGAACAGTCATTTGGATCTTCGTTTTGCACTTTTATCGTAGAAAAAGAAGATATTCAACCGTAAACTTGTACTAAGGGGTTTTCGAGGTCGGTGAATCAATTGGTGCTATCCATTTTCCTCTTGGAGAGCAACTGTTTACCGTACATCGACTTACCAGAAATCGTGCGATCTGTCGAGAATTTTCCTGTCGATGCGATGTTCATCAACGCCATTCGACTCCATTTTTTCTGATCTTGATACGTTTCAGCGACTTTATCTTGACATTTCGCGTAAGCATCAAAATCGGCGCAAACCATGAAGCTGAAAGGTTTGAATTTCGTTAATACTAAGCAATACGAAGCTAGACAACTAAGCTAGACTGTTACATTTTAAAAGTAAATAGTAATCTCCTTCTAAGACTCAAAATAACTGACCGATCATGATGCCTAAGCATATTGGCCACATCTTTGAGTTGTCCCGGCTCCTCAGGTGTCAGCATTCCACCTTCGATTTGCTCGACAATCTGTTTCAATGTCGGGCATTTCTCAATAAATTCCCCGGCATTATATCCTCTTTTTTCGAGTGCTTCAACTTCTTCGACATTCATTCCAAAGATGAAAATGTTATCCATGCCCATTTCTTCAGCCATTTCAACATTTGCTCCGTCAAGAGTACCAATTGTGAGAGAGCCGTTTAACTGAAAGAGTTTTTGGATTGGTTTTGGATTACGATACTGGATTACGATACGATATTGTTTAGAGTTTATCTATCTATCTATCTCTTTATCTACAGATTACTGTATTCTAATACCAACCATGAACTTCATATTGCCCGTTCCCGAAGCCTCAGTTCCAGCGGTGGAGATCTGAAAGATGAGAAATTCAAAAATTCAACTTTCAACAACAACAAAAACAAGTTTTTTTAGAGCTTTCTTTATTTTTCAAACTGTAAATAAGAGCTTTTGTGTTTCTTTTGATTGCTTATCTTTTTAATATTCTTGTTCTTTACCTGCTCCGAGAGATCAGCTGCCGGGATGATCTTCTCAGCCATTGACACACGATAATTCTCCAAGAAAACAACCTAAACTTTTGACCTTAACATTTCTGATATTTAGCTGTACAATTGTTTCAAATCTTTACCTTCAACTTGTCGCCAACAATCGGATCATTGTTCACCGTCTCACCAACAGCGGTGATCAATCGAATGATTTGCTTGGCCATATGGTAGCCGGGAGCCGCCTGAAAGCTTTTGAATTGTTATTGAGTTTGTTTACTTGATCAATCGAATGATTTGCTGTGAGCTGTGATTGTAATTAAAGCTTTGATTGTAATTAAAGCTTTGATTGTAATTAAAGCTGTGATTGCAATGATTAAAGGAAGTATTTCCTATTAAAACTTTAGCTAAACGAATTCTAAAACAGTAGCAGTTCTCACAAATAGCTAAACAGTTCTCACAAACAGCTAAACAGTTCTCCCGAACAGCTAAACAGTTCTCACAAACAGCTAAACAGTTCTCCCTAACAGCTAAACAGCTAAACAGTCGAGTATGTTCCTCGCGAGTTTTTTAAAATGCGTTTTTTAAAACGCACACTTGGGAAAAAATTATCGTACTTTTAGCAAAAATTATTCCAAAAAATGACGCAAAAATGACGAGCCCCTCAAAAATGACGAGCCTATATATGAGACTTTTTAAAGATACTCAGCCGTTTAACTGATTTGGTGGGAAATTCCTTTCCAGTGTAAAAAAATGATTTTTTTTCTTTTGAAAAACCTGCGCAAAAAATTGCTTTTATTTTTTTTCGCGCAGGCGCCTTTTTAGAAAACGCATTACTCGAGTTATTACTCGACAATTACTCGAGTTATTACTCGAGTTATTACTCGACAATTACTCAACAATTACTCGAGTTATTACTCGAGCTATTTACTCGAGCAAAAATTACTCATGCAAATTTACTCGAGTAATTACTGACTCGCGAGGAACACACTCTATTCTCGAGTATCAACTCAATTTTAATGCTATCTCGAACTCATTTCAGTCAAGAATAACGTCAAGAATCAATTTATAAAGAATAAATAAAGTCATTATTTAATTCTCATTCTAAATGCTTGGCCATATGGTAGCCGGGAGCCGCCTGAAAGCTTTTGAATTGTTATTAGAAAGCTTTCAGATCTGTTTACTTGCATTCAAGCTGTGATTGTAATTCAGCTGTGATTGCAATGATTAAAGAAAGTGTTTCCTATTAAAACTCATTCTCAATCTAAATCTATAAGCGAAATTCTTTCTATTCTTCTTTAGAATTTGAGTTTTTTAAGGCTGGCTTAGTTGAAAATTTGAACCAAAAGATTTTCAAAGTCAAGAAAATCGAATTCATTATTATTTTTTAAAGAAAACCCTCTATTTCTTTTGTCAAACCTTTCCTCCATAAAGATATGTTCTTGGAACCATCTTCAAATCGGGATTCTCTTTAATTCGATTGTAAAGAGCGATCACAAACAAAATGTTGAGGAGTTGACGCTTGTACTCGTGAATTCGTTTCACCTTCAAAATCCCAATTGTCTGACTTTTTCATCAAAACTCACATGAATATCGAAAAGTGATGATGGATTGATTGTCACGTTGTACTCTTCTTCTAAATATTGAGCCACTCGCAATTTGTTTTCTTGCTTCACACGACGAATCGACTCTAAGAATGGAGCCGAGTCGGCAAACTCTTTCAACTTTTGCAATTCGTCCAAATTTGTTATCCAGTCTTCGCCGATTTTCTGTAAAAACTCTTTTAGATCTTTTAGATCAAAGAAAAAAAGGTGAAAGAGCTGAAAGAGCTGTTTTATATTTATCAAATTGCTGAAAGAGCTGTTTTATCGTTCACCTCACAAATGATATCAGCTAATGATGGATTGGAGAGAAGAAGCCATCTTCTAGGAGTGATCCCATTCGTTTTATTCTGGAATTTCTCCGGGTAAAACTCGTAGAAGTCGTGGAATCTGGAAATGTAAAGCTGAATCATTGGAATGGAACGGAATGGAAGGTGGAATGGAATTGAAGTTTTCTAGATCATCGTTGAGTTTTTTAGATCAATTTGGAACAATTTTCCTTCATTTTCTTGGGTACTAACGGTTTTCGAAAGGGTTTTTCAAGTTGGAAAGCTACCGTAACCATTTCGTAGCGAAGACTACAGTATTCCGATTGATTGCAGCTTGATTAAGTGATTTTAAAAAGATTACGATAGCTTTTCAAAGTATAGCTCTAGCTTTAGCTCTAGCTTTAGCTCTAGCTTTAGCTCTAGCTTTAGCTCTAGCTTTAGCTCTAGCTTTAGCTCTAGCTTTAGCTCTAGCTTTAGCTCTAGCTTTAGCTCTAGCTTTAGCTCTAGCTTTAGCTCTAGCTTTAGCTCTAGCTTTAGCTCTAGCTTTAGCTCTAGCTTTAGCTCTAGCTTTAGCTCTAGCTTTAGCTCTAGCTTTAGCTCTAGCTTTAGCTCTAGCTTTAGCTCTAGCTTTTAGCTCTAGCTTTAGCTCTAGCTTTAGCTCTAGCTTTAGCTCTAGCTTTAGCTCTAGCTTTAGCTCTAGCTTTAGCTCTAGCTTTAGCTCTAGCTTTAGCTCTAGCTTTAGCTCTAGCTTTAGCTCTAGCTTTAGCTCTAGCTTTAGCTCTAGCTTTAGCTCTAGCTTTAGCTCTAGCTCTAGCTCTAGCTCTTTGTTTCACTCACGTGTGACTCTTGAGAAGCTCAGAATGAAGAGCGGCAACTCCATTGATCTAAATCATTTATAAATAGTTATAAATTGCTATAAATTGTTCTAAACTATTAGAAATTACTTTATAAATCTTTCTAAATAATTTCTAAATACCGCATGCGAGGCCACAATGCACAAATGAGCCATATTGATTCGCTTCTCTCCGTGACTATCCGCTTCCTCAACAATGGACATTCGCCGCATACGATCGAAGTCTCCAGGGAAACGCTTTGAGACTGACTAAAGATTTTTCGATTCCCCGCTTGATACTACTCATTTCCTCACCTCCATGAACAAATGATTGATCTGGTAGATGATCTCCAAATGTCGCGGCAAAAGCGATTGCATCAACGAGACCGGCCAGCGCTCCAGCGCCTCGGGGAGAAGCGTGTGATTCGTGTAAGCATAACTAGAGATATTTTCTAGAATTTGATATGGAAATTTTTACTTGAAGATGCTAAAAATCGATGATTGAAGATGCTAAACTAATAAAACAAAAGAAAGAAAAAAAGCTGCTTTGCTTAGGGTCGAACCTGTGCCACGTGTCAGTGGGGGGCCTGATAAGCGCGCCCTTTACCACTGAGCTAAGGAAGCAGCTAATCGATGGCTAGAAATTCCCGTTAGGTAATGAGTGTCCGAGTAAAGCCAGTAAAGTAAATGCTAGCTTCTTTTCAATTTTGAAGGTCAATGGTCAATCATGGTTTTTCGGGCTCTAGTCTAACCTATTCTGATTTGTAAACCCTAGAATTTCTAACTGGAACTTCTTTATTCTAATACTTGCTAAATAGAGGATAAACTCACGTATCAACGCAAATCTTCCACGCTTCTTCCCATGAAAGATCCTCAACATCGATCAATAATCTCATTAATTCGGGGATTCCAATCGAGGGATGAGTGTCATTGAGTTGAATGGCCACCTTATCGGGAAATGTGCTGAAATCGACTCGCACGACATCCCGACAACCGTATTTTGAAGATTTAAAGCGACGAATGATGTCCTGAAAGAGTTAAATGAACGAAAGGCTCACTAATCGTATTTTTGGTTCTTTATTTTGCAGAAAATTCTTCACAAATTTGTACAGACTTCACAGATTTCAACAATGGTTTTATAGAGTTTTATAAAACCATTGTTGTACTTCTATATAGTTATTTAATATTTAGATTTAATTCTATTTGCTTTTGAATCAAAAATCCCACCTGAAGCGATGCTGCGACGAGGAAATATTGTTGCTTTAAACGAAGCTCTTTCCCGACAAACATATTATCATTTGGATAAAGGACACGAGTGATATTCTCAGATGTATTTCTGTCCATTACTGCTTGCACATAATCTCCATCGTTGAAGAATTTCAAGTGGAAATGATTCTCCGCTTTCGCTGACCACAATCTGAAAAAGTCTGGCTTGATCTTTGCCCGTACTTTGTGCTCACAAATGGAAACACATTCTTTCTAGTGCACGAAGGCTGTCACCTTCTTTTAGTTACACTTCCTGCACCAGAAGGAGTGCGTTTCAAGTTAGCTTAGCTTAGCCCATAGTACAGCTGAGCTAAAGTTGAAAACGTTAGTTTTTTTTATGGGAGAGAATGAATCCCGGTCGGCGCTGGGATTCGAACCCGCGACTTATGACCCGATCGCTTACCGCGCGAGCGCTCTACCAATGAGTTACAACGACATGTGTCCTATTATGTGTCCCAGGCCCAGGCAGCTACACCGGCATGTGTCCCAGGCCCAGGCAGCTACACTGACATGTGTCCCATTATGTGTCCCAGTTCCAGGCAGCTACAACGACATGTGTCCCATTATGTGTCCCAGGCCCAGGCAGCTACAACGACATGTGTCCCAGGCCCAGGCAGCTACACTGACATGTGTCCCATTATGTGTCCCAGGCCCAGGCAGCTACACCGGCATGCGTCCCAGGCCCAGGCAGCTACACTGACATGTGTCCCATTATGTGTCCCAGTTCCAGGCAGCTACAACGACATGTGTCCCATTATGTGTCCCAGGCCCAGGCAGCTACAACGACATGTGTCCCAGGCCCAGGCAGCTACACCAACATCTGTCCCAGGCCTTACTCTCTTTCTACAAATCATTCCACTCACCTCAACGTGTTCACCACATTATTTCGATATCCGGGCACTGGTGTATCGTACGGCATAGCGAATACCACTTGTGTGTCAACCCATTTCGATTTTCCCTCACCATCTTTTTCAACTCTTCCGAAGAAATTCACAGGCAACATGTACTGAATTATGAAGCCTTTTTCCTTGATTCTCTACTCTACATCCATATTTTATAGCCGATTTACTATTACAGCTGATGCTATGAAAGGATATCAACTAGCCAATTTGCTAATTTGCTAGCCAATAGGATTCCCTCAAAGTTTCTTTCCAGCAATTCATTTCATTTCATTACTTCGAATTTCTTTGTTAAACTATCCGGAGTGCGAGTTGAAGACGGAGAAACCAAAGAAAACTCCAAAGGGAACTGTCATCAAGCCGATTGTCACACCAGAGCAGAACGAGTGATGCCAAATCAATGTCATTGATCTGCCATCCGTTCCATTCCAATCCAATCCATTGCAACCGGTGATTACAAGTTTCTTATAGTATATAAACATCACTTAACTAAGCCCAGACCATTGGAATCCAAGAATATAGCAAATTGGCTAGAGAAAATTTTAAGAAAATCGACTAGTTGATATGCTTTTATAGCAAATTGGCTGAAATAACAAATCGACTGAAATAGGAAATCGGCTACGACATTTACATAGAATTTACTTAGCAATATACAATTCAAACTGTAACAAACAAAAAGCAAACAAACCTCGGGACGGGCTTTCTCCCAAGGATTACCAAAACGAAGCCAGTCATCGGGTTCTTCTACCTGAAATTTTAAAAAGATTATTAATGTTTAAGATCGTTAAAGCTTGAGCTAGATCTAGAGCAGATCTAGAGCTAGATCTAGAGCTAGATCTAGAGCAGATCTAGAGCTAGATCTAGAGCTAGATCTAGAGCAAACAAAAATATCCTAAAACCCGATATTTTGCCATTATTTTACCTACAGAAGTGCATGTTTGATTGATTTGATTTGATGTTTGATTTGAACTTGATTTTAAGCCCTTATTTAAGCCCTTATTTAAGCCCCAATTTCGACTTTGACTCAATCGTTGTCTTGCCTCTCACCTGCCATCCATCTCTAATCAATTGCTTGAAAATCCCATATTCGTATCGCAGCCCATATCCATAAGCAGGTATCCCAAGAGTGGCCATCGAGTCAAGAAAGCATGCGGCCAATCTTCCCAATCCTCCATTTCCCAAACCGGCATCCTCTTCAATCTCTTGCAACTCTTCAATGTCCAAACCCAGCTGAAATTGTGGGATTAGGTATTTGAAGCGAAATCTCACTCTTTCTCTGACTCTTTCTCTCACCTGATACAGCGCCTCATCAACCGTCGCCTGAATCCCAAGATTCATCATCGTGTTCGACAGCGTTCTTCCCATATAGAATTCCAATGAAAGATAGTAAACTCTCTTCGGATCTTTCTCGTAATAATGTTGTTGAGTGCGAATCCATCGACTGACCAAATGATCTCTCACAGTGTTCGCCAAAGCAAAGTAGTAATCCCGAGGGGTGGCCACGTTGCGGTCCTAGAATTTGGTGAAATGAGAATGAGAATAAGAATGACAATGACAATGACAATAACAATGACAATGAGAATGAGAATGAGAATGAGAGAATGTAAATGAGAATGAGAGAATGTGAATTAGAATGAGAGAATGTGAATGTGAAATGAGAGAATTTGGGTTCAGATTAGGATGTGTAGATAGGCGTCAGAGTTTAAGAGTCTAGAGTCTAAAACTAGTCAAAAGGAGGCTTGCAGCAAAGCTAGATCAGGCTAGAAGCTGGCTTCGAAGTCTAGCACACCCTGCCTGTACAACCCTGGATCTATTCTCATTTAAAAATCAAAGATCAAACAAGAATCAAACATCAATCTTTTACCTTGATAATCGAGAAGTGAAGGTGTCGATTGAAAGATTTCTTGATATTGCCCACATTCTCCACGAGGGCGATTCCGCGAACCGAGATTTGCTTTCGACGATCGTGATCCGTCAACATGATTTCGATGGTTTTGAGTATTCAACTAAAGAACTAGATATTTTAAAATTTGAATTAAAAAATAAAGATAAAGATAAAATGAAAGAAGAATAATAGATTGGCAAAAGATTTACTGTTAATTGAATCCAAGAAAGCCAATGGCAATCAAGGAAATTGTCAGAAAGATTTTGAGCAATCTTCGAATCAAAAACATTAGTTTTTCAAAGATTTTTAGACAGAATTCTAGGAAATTTGATTTGAAAATCCTTTTGAAAATCTTAGAAAAAAATCATTTTGATAATTTGAAAGTCTTTTGGATTATAAAGCTATAAATTATCAAATTAATATAGAAAAAAGCTTTCCTGAAGCTCAATTGTACGATTATAATAAATAATTGATGGAAGAAAAATTAGATTTTAAGATAGGGGAATGAAGCCTTGATCTTTCCAATTGCTATTGCTCTAACCATTGAGCTATGCTCTCAATGGTTAGTGCTCTAACCATTGAGCTATTGCTCTAACCATTGAGCTATGCTCTAACCATTGAGCTATGCTCTAACCATTGAGGTATGCTCTAACCATTGAGCTATTGCTCTAACCATTGAGCTATTTGGTACATTAACTTGTTAAGAGAAAGAAGGAAAGACAAGGGGGAAGAAGAAGAAAGGAAGAAGAAAGGAAGATGGAATGATGGAAAGAAGGTAAGACAAGAGGGAAGAAGAAGAAAGGAAGATGGAAAGAAGGTAAGACAAGAGGGAAGAAGAAGAAAGGAAGATGGAAAGAAGAAAGAAGGAAGGGAAAGGAAAGTTGAGTTAGTTAAGTTATCTTAACCTTCTAAAATCCTATCAAAGTCAGACAAAAGATCATGTGGGACTTGAGCTAACAAAAAACATTTGTTCAAGTATATAGGAGCGGTGAATCAATGAAAAAAAAATTGGGGGAAAGGAGGGGTGTGAGCGATGTCCAGAGGGGAAAAGAAATGGAAAAATGGGGAAAAGAAGGGGCGGAGAAAGAGAGTAACGTGCCTGCTGGACAGCCTCTCCGAGAAATAAAAAAGATCTGTCGGCAGGAGAGAAAAGAGACTTAGACAAGACAATTTTTATTTGTTCCCTCTCTTTCCCAATCAAAACTCTCTCTTGTTTTTTTGTTTTTTTTTTGTTTTTTGGCCATCCCCTGACCTCCGAATCTTTCAGCTATATTTTTGACAAATAAATTGGAAAAGTTGGACAAAGAAATTGGAACAGTTGGACAAAGTTGGACAGTTGGACAGAGAAAACAGTTGAATCCATTTTTGAGAACTCTTTCCCCGATTCATTTCATAACTTTAATTAGGGTTAAAGATTTGTTGCAAACAATAGTTTAGAGAATTTTAAAAGCTTTAACATTAGCCACAAAAAGCCACAAAAAGTATCAGCTACAAAAAGCTTAGGTGTACTTTGTGCTAAAACTTTGTAAACCCATCTATCGGATAGAGAAGCCTTTAGCTTTCTTTTTTATTAAACTGAAAAAGATTAGAAACAGTGCTCTAGAAAGGGTTTGTTTGGCTAGTTTTAAGCACAAAGTACAGCTAAAGTAGATGCGATTCCGAAAACAGCAAAAGTGCGAAAACAATGAATGATTTTTGCTTGCTTAAACAGAAATCCCATTTTTGCCCGTTTGTGGACAATTAGAGAAAGAAAGAAAAGAAAGAAAGAAAGAAAGAAAGAAAGAAAAGAAAGAAAAGAAAAGAAAGAAAAGGTCATTTCAGATAAGACAGTTTGTTTACAAGAGAAAACTGTTAGGCAGAAATTAAGAGAATCAATCGATGAAAAAGAAACCGACAAAACAAGATCAGTGAACACTTTTTGAAAATTCAAACCTCACGCTTATAAAGCTTTAAAGTGAATGGATGAGAAACATTTGTGATCAATTGGATAAAAATAGAGCTAAGATTACAGTAGTCTTCAAAAGTAGACGAGCTTTACGTCTACTTTCCAAGACTACCGTAATCTTGGCTCTATTTTTATTCAATTGATCAATCTAGTTACAGTAAAAAAGAACTTAAGAGAGATGGATGATTTCTAAGACGAAGATGAAATGAAATTTTGTGAATAGATGATTCTTATCTTTTAAATTCTCGTAATTCTCGTAATTCTCATAATTCTCGTAATTTAAAGTTTATACAAACAGTTTTATATCTTTTTTTTTCTATAAAATTAAGTTTTATTGAGCACATTTGTTTACGAATCATGCTACCGTATTTACTCTATTAGTGGCGTCCTCTCTAATAGTGGAGTCGTTTGGAGGGGGGTTGAAAAAATAGTGAGGTCCTCTCTAATAGTGGAGTTGTTTGGAGGGGGGTTGAAAAAAAATAGTGGAATCGATTAGTGAAAATCAGTTTTCTAAAGTGCGCGCTCCATAAAACGCTACCGTATACCCACTTAGGCCATTGTTGTCTCTGGAAAAAATGTTTTTCAAGCATAATTTAAAAATCGATTGTTGCTTAAAGAAACTTTATTTGTCGTATTTTTATGTTTTGTTACTTAGTTACGTTTCTTAGTTAATTTTGATTTTTTAGGCGCGATGTCTTCTTCGAGCGATTCTGAAGAACCGATTTCAAAAAGAGAAGAGTCTTCGACGTTTCGACAAAGCTCAGGGCGATTGCGGAAGCAGAGAAGACGATGAACAAACGGGGAACTGCAAAAAAATATGGCGTCAAGCAAAGCGTGATTCAAAAATGGTGCAACCACAAGGAACAACTGGAGAAGCAACAGAAAGAGAACGGAAAGACGATGAAGAGGATTCAAGGAGGTGGTCGCAAGTTGAAGGAATCCCCGAAGGAGCCAAACAACTCGCCGATGCTCGAATTGAACGCGCCATCTCCGGAATCAACAATCACCTTTCATCAATCGAATTGGAAGAAGATATTGGTAACGAAAGTGATACATCAATTGTTGATCTCTTGGATTAGTTCTTTTACTGTTTGTTAATGTTTTGTTACGGTTAAAGCTAAATAAAATATGAAGCCAAACTTGTTTTGTCAAGAATTTCGGAGAAAAATTGATATCTTTTCAATTTAAAACTTTGGTTTTATGTTCTTTTAAATTTCTCTAATAGTGGGGTCCTCTCTAATAGTAGGGTCATCTGGAAGGGGATTGAAAAAATAGTGGGGGACCCCACTAATAGAGTAAATACAGTAATTGAATATCGAGTTTAGTGACTTCATTTTCGGATCAATTTTTGATCAATTTTCTCTCAAACCGATGCCAAATTTTTTCTCAAAATTTGGCATCGTTTTTGCTCATCGAATCGCTAATAAACAAAACTAAATTTATAATTGTAAACTTTTTTTGCTCTTTTTGCTCTTTTTGCTCTTTTTGATGGAGAGAAAAATAGAAAACAAAGTTTTTTTAGAGAAATTCACAGAGAAACGGGTGATTCCTCCCTTATCGGGTAATCAACGATCTGTGGTGAAAATAAAATAAGAAAAGGGAACAAAATCAATATTATCGCTGTAAGAAAGTATGAAAAGTTTGTTTACATTTTTAAAAAATAAAATTTATAAGCTTTTTTTTACAAGTTTACAAGTTCAAGATTCAGATATTCAGATTCAGAATCACTTGTAAAGTTGAGGCAAAAATTCAGAGGAGGTTCACAAAAGTCGCTTTATGGAAAATTGACTATTCTAAATATTCTAGCTTTACTTATGAGGAGAGACTTGCTTTTTTACAAAAACTTTACAGCATCGTCGCTTTGTCATTGATTTAGTCGAAACTTTCAAAATTCTCCGTTGTAAACAGATTAGCCCTTTATTTATAGACTTTTTCAAATTTAAACCGCGGTCAGGGCCCAGAAGTGGCTCATTCCTTTTGCAAATTCCCTTTGCTTCCAATGCCTCTTTATCAAATTCATTTCCCGTTAGAGCCGCTAGATTATGGAACTTGCTCCCAAACGACATACGAGAAATTCAGTCGCTTTTCATATTCAAGAAACGTATCGATGCTTTAGATCTAGTGGCTCTTTGCCGTAAGTAATTGGCTTATTGATTTCAGTATGTATTGTATGAGTAAGTATCACTGTGCATTTCTCTATGATTTCTTTCACTTTATCGTTTGAATAAAGTATTATTATTATTATTATAAAATGAACAGGATTGAACACTTTCAAAATTACAAACAAACAAACAAACAAATTTATGAACAAAGTTCTCATTCTCACTTCACTGTTCAAAGTTTTTCAAGTTTTGAGGACTGAAACTGATTTTTAAAGCCTTCCGAACAAGTTCTTAATTCAAATTTTTGAAAAAAGTTCAAATTCGAGTTAAAGCTTTAGCATAGGGAACAAAATAAATATTATCGTCGTAAGAAAGTATGAAAAGTTTGTTAAATTTACAAACTTTGAGAAAAGTTCTTGCGTTTTTGCGAAAATCGACTCAAAGACTACTTTGAAAGAACTCAAAGCCTTGAAAAGAACCTAAATTTTCAACTATCTAAAATTGAAAGTTTTCGAGTTTTCAACGAAATTCATACAAAATTTGTCCAAAAGTCAATGCTAGTTTTTTAAGAAAATCCCTGGGTTTCATTCTATTTACTTTTTTCGTCTTTTCACCGAAAATCGCTTCGTTTTCTTTTCTCGCAAAATGATTTTTCCATGTTTTTGTTTGTGATTATTTTGTGAAAGATCAGTGAAAAGGAAATGTCAGTTTTTCTGTGAGAATCGATTGAGCGATCCCGGTTCCTGAGCATCATTATTCCCAAATTCCTAAACAAACAACCTAAAATAAAAAGCACTACAGTTTAGAGAAATTCGGGTAAGAAAAAATGGAGAGGACAAGGAATTTAGAGATCCCGAAAGTGAAGCCCCTTATGCTGAGGGGATTTGCCAGATGAAGAGCGATTACGCCGTTGCACAAAGAACATTTCACCAATTTTTCTTTTTCTTGGTTGATGACCCAAAAAAAAGATATTTAGCTGAAAATTTGTACCCAGGGGTTTTCAGGGTTGGCGAATCGATTGGCGCTATTCATTTTCCCGGTTCTGTCAATTGGAACTCGAAACCTGGACCTCCTAGACACTTCTCTCGCGAAGCACTTCTGAATTTCAAACAAGGACATTTAGTAGAAGATTTTACAATAATCTATTCAAAGAATCATGCTCAAAATCTTATTATATCAAACAGAAATTAAAAATAAATCAAACATATCAAACAAACATAACATAACATATCAAACAAACAAAAAAATCATCCAAAAACCATCTGCAAACTTTTAACAAGATCTCGATCAATGTTTTTCAGATCAGATTTTCAAACCTTGGCTTCTAGCTTAATTAGCATGTTGTAGCCTTTATGTTTCCATTTTTAAACTCAAATCCCATTGCTGAGAACAAAAATGAAACCAAATATTAAAACTGCTGTTTTTCTAAAAAGAAGAGATCAATTCTAAGTTCTTTCCCAAAAATTTTCTGACGCGCCTTTTTAAATCTAATAATTAACTCAAAAGAAAATAATGTAACAAATGCCGCCTTTGCTCTCATTTTTTTAACAAAAATTCAAAATTAATTGGGAACAAAAAATAAACTTCAAGCATTTCAATCATTTCAATCATTTCAATCGTTTCAATCATTTCAATCATTTCTAAATTCTAAAGTATCAGTAATAACAGTAAGCTGTATCATTCAGTATCAGTAACAGATCAAGTATGTCATAATCTAGAACTTGTAACTAGATCAGGCCAAAAAAGACTAGAATCCGATCAGAGTCCGATCCAGGATTATTATTTCAATCATTTCAATCATTTTCAATCACTGTTTCAACGTTTTAAATAAAATTGCTAAAAGAAAAGCGCAACTTTTCAACTCAAACTTTGTCAATTGATTGATAGCCTTTTGCTTTTTACTTTTCATTCACTTCTACAATGATTTTGTTTCAAGACTTATTCTAATTTTATTTCTTTTACTCTTTATTCATTCAAAATTTCATCATTTCTAGTCGATTTTGTTTCCATTCATTAGAGGATCAGGTCAATTGAAAAAGTGATTTTTATCATTCGATCCAGAATTTTATGCTCTTCCCAAATAGCTAAGACAACGAGGAAGAAAAAAGGAAGGAAGGAAGAAAGGAAGGAAGAAAGGAAGGAAGAAAGGAAGAAAGGAAGGAAGAAAGAAAGGAAGGAAGGAAGAAATAAGGATTAACAAAGTTGCAACTCGGGACACTTGACACTCCACACTTGACATCTAGCCTTTTTCAGTTTGCAAGTCAACTAACAAAATTTTGCTTGATCTAGCTCTTTTTGCAGGTCAATTCCGGAGGTTGCAACTCTTAAAATGCTAAAAACAATATAAATTTGAATTCTAAAAACAATATAAATTGGAATTCTTTCTAAAAACTCGTCAAATTTGGATTCAGCAATACCTAAACACTCAAAAATCTCGAGAAAATAGGCCAATTTTTTCTGTATTACATGAAAATTTCTATTTTGTTTGTTTGTTTGTGTTTGAGAGCTTTATTTCATTGCGTCTTTCAGCGCTTCATCCACAGAAAACGATTTTATTCATATTCTCGAAGGTAGTTATTTTTTTCTCGGTAAACATTTGGTTAAAATGGCTAAAATGGTCTATGGCTAAAAGGTAAATATTAGTGCTAAAGCTAATGAAAGAAAATAATGAAAGAAAATAATGAAAGAAAACAAGATAAAATGAAAAAAAAAACATGCTTTCTCTGCTAGGCAATTATTAGGTTGTCCAATAAGTAATGCGTGTTTTGACACGATTTCTTCTCATCGAAACCAGCTTCATTCTATTATGACGGACTTCACTCTTTGCTCAGACGATGGAGAAATGTTGTTGATTGTTGTGGAGAATATATCGATTAATAAAGTTCTCTTTTGTTAATTTTGTGATATTTTGAAAATCGTGTCAAAACACGCATTACTTATTGGACAACCTAATAGAACAGAATGAAATTTTTTCTTCAAATTTTTCATTTTATACCGCCAAAAGGGCGCGTTTTAGAACGCGGGGATCCTCGCCTACGGTAGATTATCCACAAAAACAGTGTTTGACTTTTGTTTAATGTATTTTTGGTTCATTTTTGTTTCTTTTTTTTCATTTTTGGTTCATTTTTGTGTCTTTCTTTCATTTTTGTTTCTTTTTTACAAGAATTTCATAGATTTGATACATTTTTACTTTAAAGTAAAGATATACATTTTCTATAGATATTTTTCATTCAATTTTTTATATTTGCAAGTTTTTCTGTTGTGTGTCTAGTCTAGAAGTCTTGTTGAATGTCTAGTCTAGAATTCTAGAATCATTTGTCTAAATTATTAGATTATTAGAGATTAGATTATTAGATTATTAGAGATTAGATTATTAGATTATTAGAAAATCTAGAATTATTTCCAGCAAATGCTCAAGAGCAAATCTTCAATTCAGCAATTGAAAGTAAAGATTCTAGTCAATCTAGAATTCTAGGCTGTTCAATCTAGTCAATCACTTTCAAAAGTCTCTTCAATCTTTTCAATCACTCAAAAATATTTAGCTAATTTGTAAGTGAACTTTCTGGCTTTCTTTCCTTCAAATTTCCGTTTAAAAACAAGAAAAATTGGCTAGAATCGGCTAGAATCGGCTAGAATCTTGACAAAAATCCCTTTGTAGTTAAAGATTTCTAGATTCAAATGTGATATTTTCAAAAGACTATAGAATCTCTGCCATTTTACACTTACAATTGTTCTCTTTTCTTTTCTTTCATTTTTTTTCCATTTTGTAGCCAAAATTTCGATTTTCTTTTCCATTTCCTTTTCCATTTCTCAATTATTCGCAAAAATTGAAAAAATCCTTTTTTTTCTTTTTTTCCAAATTCCAAGTAGAGCTTTGATTCATAATTTGAAAAATTTCACGTTTTTTTTCAATTACAATTAGTAAACTTTTAAATCATCAAAATTTTAAAGAATTAAAGAAAGCTTCTGCTTTCAAAGATTATTTTGCGAATGATTGACTCGCCGATCATCCCGATATTTCACTTCTTTATCTACATTGTATCAGGTAGTGCTTTCGAGTACTTTTAAAGCTAAAAAGTCATTAGAAAACTATCGTAATCAAAACCGATTTTTAAAAAATACCGTATCCTTTTCCCGTTCAAGTAAAATAGAGATTTTAGGGATCTCCGCACTGCTCGGCTTTACAACGATCTGTGTCATCGCCAAACAAACACCCAATACAATGAGAGTCTACAGTAGATTCTTGCTGCTATACTTGGTAACTTATCATGGATATTTTTTTGATTTTAGTGGATTTTTGAGGGTCTTGAACTGATCTTCACAATCTTTCATGGACTGGGCATGGCGGCGGTCACGATTTTGCCAGTTATCGGATTTTTCACCACCGGTTTCCTCGGGTTTCTTGGATTCACGGGGAGGTCGCAATTGGTGAGTTTGACTCATCGTTTGTTTGACGCTTGACTCTAAGTTTCCACATTCACCAAAGTGCGAAAACTTTTTGAAGTACTCGATCTTGTATCAGTGATATCAGTAAGCTGTATCATTCAGTATCAGTAACAGATCAAGTATGTCATAATCTAGGGCTTGTAACTAGATCAGGCCAAAAAAGACTAGAATCCGATCAGAGTCTGCTCCATGCAGGTCCAGAGTCCGGTCCAGGGTCTGATCTATGTCCAGAGTACGATCCAGGGTCTGATCAATGTCTAGAGTACGATCCAGGGTCTGATCCATGTCTAGAGTCCGATCTAGGATCTGATCCAGGTCCAGAGTCCGGTCCAGGGTCTGATCCATGTCCAGAGTCCGGTCCAGGGTCTGATCCATGTCCAGAGTTCGATCCAGGGTCTGATCCATGTCTAGAGTCCGATCTAAGATCTGATCCAGGTCCAGAGTCCGATCCAGGGTCTGATACATGTCCAGAGTCCGGTCCAGGTCAACTAACAGTCCCTTTCAGCACCTGGTCTCCTTCCTAATGGTCTTATATCTCTGTTCAATTCTTCCCCTTATTCTTTATCGTCAACAAGCCGTTCTTTCCGATGATTATTGGATGAAGCTACGCAAAAGAACCTTCATCTCAATTATTCTTTACAATTTTATCACCCCAAATTTGGTCTTACAAGTGACACTATTTCTGGCGTTCAAAGATCAAAATCTAGTGCGAAATGAATACAAATTGGTAAGGGTTTTTTAAAAAACCCATTTCTATATCAAATTTAGCTTTTTGGAAGTTTTCTTGACATTTGCGATTCTCGTGAATGTTTTCTCCTGGATCAATTTGGATTGCAGATCATTTCTTATGGATTGGGCTTTCAATTTCTCACTGCTACAGTGAATTCAGGTTTGAATTCTCTAGTAAAGTAAAGTAAACGATTCTCTAGAAGCTCAGATTGGCCTAGCTAGGCAAATAGATAATGGGCTAGACAACAGGTTGTTTCAAGAAGTCTTGGCCTCAAGGGAAATGCGTAATACAAGGCAAATTAGTCTTAATACTTTGTAAACTGAACCAGATTTTCAATCCTTGGCATCTAGCTTAATTCTAGCTTCTGGTTGTCCCAGGATTGGGATTATCATTTGGTGATTTCACCCTGCTTTTTCATAAAGTATTAGAATAGATTATATTAGGTTGACAAGAAATTTTGTGGGGAAAGTTTGCACAGTGATTTCTCAAAATCAAACCCATCAATTCTTCCCAGATTTTTTGATAAACTTGACTTGAAATTTTTTGACAAAAAAAAAGCAGAGTAGGCTTCAAGTAAATAAGAGATTTCTTCAGCTGAAGTCATTTGATCACTTTTTGAGTCTTGATCTTGATCAGCCTTTGGATATCGGTCTGTTATCACACCACATTTGATAACAGACGGATGTGATATCACACCTTTAGACAAGTTTTTAATTCGTTAACGAATAGGCAATGGGTTTCATTCAGATATAAATACTTTATTTAGAAAGAAATAGAAAAAAGAAATAGAAATAGAAATTAGAAAGAAAAAGTGCGAAAACGACATGAAAAATGTACAAGATAAAAGATGACAAAGGATCACTTAAAATGCAACGAAGTAGCCCTTTTAAGATCAGACTCAGAATCAGAAGAAAGTGGAGATCAAAGGCAACTTGTCGGGAAGGGTATTCCAAACTTTAACCACCACCCGATTTACAAAAAAGCTGTAGAGGATTTAGAGAAAGCAGATTCGGGATGCAAGATAGATAAATAATTCAAAACCTAAATCAAGTACGTAAAATAGGGAAAACTTTTGATTAAGGCAAATTTTTTATCCAATACTTTTATCCAATACTTTTATTCAATACTTTTACTCAATACTTTTATTCAATACTTTAACTTCTCAGAATTCACCTATTTTAGTAAACACTCAGTGCCAAGATGACACTAAAATAAATGATTTTTTGAAATACAGCTTATCTGTAAAAAATTTTTAGCTAAAAATAGAGATTATAAAGCTTTTTGCTTATTATGATAGCTTTATTTCATAAGAATTTTTCTGATACAAAAAGCGAGTTGAATTTAAGCTGGAAACTAAGAGTTTTCTTTTAAAATCTCAAAAATTATAGGGGAAAGCTGGACTCATTTTTTTACCAGTAATTTCTTGAAGTCAACTTGTAAATAATAGAATAAAATAATAGATAGAATAAATAATAGAATTGTAAATAATAGAATAAAATCTTCCTGAATTAGTGGATTTGTTTTTAAAGAAATTCCATTCAAACTTTTTCTGAAGACTTTCTTTCCAACCTAATAGAAAGATAGTAATAATAAGATAATAATAATAAGATAATATCAATAAGTATTTATAATTGCAATTAGATGTAACACAGAAATCCTGAAAATATAAAGATTTCAAAGAAAAACAGTAAAAGAGTAAACAGTAAAAGAGTAAACAGTAAATAAAGCTGCTGTTATTTCCAGAGAATTCAAAATTGATGATATGTACAGTACTGGACAATGAAATATCATATTTGAAAAGCGATCGTCACTTTCGCGCGTCTGTAACTCCCTTGTCTTTGAGTTTAAACTATTAGTGTTATACATTTTCTGAAAGCCCTTTTCAAGGGCTACACAAAGGTAATATTAATATTTAGAAATACGGTAAAGACAAGGGAGTTACAGAGAGGCGAGAGTGACGATCTTTTTTCAAATATGATATTTCATTGTCCAGTAGTGTAACTGATGTGCTGAAACTGAAATATTAGGTTGATGCATAAGTGTTTTTGTTCCTTTTCGTCTGCCGTTTCAAGCCAACAAATGCACGAATTAAACTACGGTTGATTTCATTAGAAAAACCAATTATTTTTCTGCAAAATAACATTAAAACGGGTTTAAAAATATTTAATGCCTGGATTTTCTTGAGAGTATGAAGTCGGGTAGTCAAAAAGGGCTAACTCGATGATGCGGTTTAGACACCTTAGCTAAAGAAATGCCTGGATTTTCTTGAGAGTATCAAGTCGGGTAGTCAAAAAGGGCTAACTCGATGATGCGGTTTAGACACCTTAGCTAAAGAAAACCTATCTTCGTGTCAATAGATAAAAGATAGAGAAAAAAAACGTTTGATATTTCGCCAAAATTTCAGAGAAATTCATTCAGCCAATTTTTCCGTAGAGTTTTTTATAGATTTTTACGAAAAAGGCGTTTTTCACTCTCGAATTTGCTTGAAAGTGAACCGAAATTCATTTAAAAAGATGCAAATTGAACAAAAAAACACTTTTTTTTATAGAGCAAACTATAGATTAATTGGTGAATTTGTTACTTTTTAACAGAAGTACGAAAAAAACGAAAAGACTTATGCATCAACCTAATAGAACTAGTTATAGGCAATGGTTCTTTTCCGTTATATATCCGCAAAATTTAATCATTTAATAATCATTTAATAATCAATCATCGATTTTTGATTTAATCAAAAAAATAAACGTCAAAATAAGACCAATAAGGAATCGATCGAGGTCCATTGTTGAGTCCATCCATAGATGAATCGTAGCATTGTGAGAAACAGAATTTTGGTTGTCATGAGCCTCTATTGATGAGCCTCCATTCATGCGCCAACACGCAAGCCGAGTAATTAATGAAGTCAGTTGTAAATAATAGAATAAAATAATAGATAGATTAAATAATAGAGTTGTAAATAATAGAACAAAATCTTCTTGAATTAGTGGATTTGTTTTTAAAGAAATTCCATTCAAACTTTTTCTGAGAACTTCCTTTCCAACCTAATAAATAATCAACATTCTCCAGTGATCGTTCTTGGCTCAACCGCTTACGTTCTTCAATTTAAATGCTCACATATGAGTGCTCGAACGAGATATTTACAGAAGAAAGTCTTCCTCACAATGAATGTACAAGTTGGTGAAAAGAAAAGAAACTTTGAAGAGCTTTGAAGAACTTTGAACAACTTTGAACAATGAATTCTTTTCCCAGATTGGCACCGCCGTTCTCCTAATGTTTATGCCACCATTTATACTAATTTTTCGATACCTTGTCACTGGAAATTTGTTCATTGATTCGGGTAAGAAAATGTGACAAAATTTCTTGTTGCAAAATCGTTTTCAGCTGTCTCTAGCATGGTTCAAATCATTTTCTCGAGTCACGGAATCGGCAGTAATCTCTGCATCTTGGCTCTCTACGATCCGTATCGAAAATTCTGGGTGAAATTGTTAAAAAAAGGTGATTACTGTAAAGACAATAAATTAGAATAAACTAATAGTGTAAAATCATTCTTACAAAGGAAATGTAACCAAGGATGTGACGAAATAAAATAATCCATAGACCATTCGACACAGAATTTCACGCTGATTCCGAATCTGCTTTCCGTTTTTCGAAAATAGCTTTCTATAAAAAGTTTTAAGTGTTTTAAGTTCTAAGGTAAGAATGCGGAAATTTGAAGCCGATTTACAACGATTTTCTCACGCACAGCGAGCGTGTCTTGACGGTGTAGTGGATAAAAGGCTTGCATGCAAAACGAGCGACTTACATTTGCTCGAGTTCGATTCCTTCTTGGCAAAACTTTTGTTTCTCTTAACATCTGAATTTTAATTGACCTTAAAACTTTAGCTTAAAACGGAAAGCAGATTTTGCGTCGAATGGTCTATGGCTTAGCTCATTTGGTCAAATCCTATTGTTACCTTTCCCTTGTTAGTCCAAGAGTTAGTTCAAGAGCTAGTCCAAGAGACTTTCCAGGCCAAGTCTTGATCTTGACCAGTTTTGCGACGGATTTAGCTCAAAACAGAACCAGTAGCCAAGACACAACTCCCACTACAGTACCTCATACTGATCTCGCTTCTAATATTTGATTTACCCTAGCTTTTCTTTGATCTACCCTAGATCTACCCTAGATCTCATCCATTTTATTAACCCACCAGTGGCTCGGACAACCTTGCTCGGACACCTTTCATTACAGTATTCCAAAACTGATTAGATATAGAGAAAGCAATACAGTTCTAAATCTGCTTCTAGGTGTTGGAATGAGCGGTATCTCGTCTGCAAGTGGTGCCGGTGTTTATCAACAGAGTCCAAAATCTACTTCAAACATCGATAGATCTAGAGCGGCTAGCAAATGAAATGATAAAGAATAAAGTTTTCAAGAACTCAAAGAATGCAAACGCATCTGTTCTGGCGTACTTTAGCTTTCAATTTCCTTTTTCTTTCGCTATTTTATGAAAGATTTTCTTGTTTTTTCAGCCTATCTTTCTCGAAATTGATGTCTTGTTTAAAGTTTGCATATAGAATTTTATAGACTTTTTATTTTCTATTTTTTGACTAAAACTAAATAGCTTGGTCGATTTCAATCAATTTTACCCGTTTTAACTTTAAAATCTTTAATCGATTTACCGTTAAAACCTTTAGATTTAAATTTAAAACCTTTAAATGTGATAAGAATAAGTTGCTAAAAACCTGCTTTGGTTTAATTACCCAAGTGACTGCCTAAAAAAGCACTATCGTGCTATTGTTTCTAGAAATATTTGCTTTAGTAGTCATTCAATTGATCGAAAACATTTAGATACAAGTTGTCTTTGTGAAACCATTCTATTTAAATCAATTCAAATACTCAATTCAATTACTCAATTTAATTACTTATAAGCTCTATTTCAAAATTTAAAAGGTACATTATTGTATTGATTTTGAGTAAAGGCAATTATTTTAAGAATTTCTTTGTTTCTTTTTCATATCCATGACTTGTTTCTCGTTAACGATTTGACCACGGAACTATGCAACAAATCTCTCCATAGAAATCGCGAACGACAACAACTGACGACTCTCCCAAAGATTGGATCTATGCAACAAATCTCTCCAGCTTATCTTCAAATCAACGAAGTTTCCATTACCAAACTATAATTTGGATTTTTCTTTTTAGATTTACTCTGGATCAAAAGCTCGAGTTTTTGTGTTTTGCTGTGTATGCAATCATCCTTTTCTACTTTTATTGCAATTTGATTAATACCCGATTGGTATTTTACGGGATAACCGTTATTGAGGGAATAGTGCCTGATTCTCGTACCGGTTAGGTGAGTTTCGCAGCAGAGCTGCTTTGATCCTAAGATACTTCGGTGCATTTATGGGAGGGACTCGCCATTCTGCCGTCGATCGAAGTCGGATCGTTTGAGGGATCTACGTCGAGATGCTTTCATTCACACTTTTTCGAGTCCAAGGTTGATTTGGTTTTCTGCGCTATTTTTGACTATCCGAGCATCATTTTCGACATTACTTTGTTAGATTTACTTTTGTGGCTAGAATGGATTTACCAGATTGTTTTGAGAATCATGCCAAAAACCGTTTTAAGAGTACTGTGTTTTTAGCCAATGACTAAAAATTCGTATTTTAGAAACATTCCCTGTACAGTCATTACAGTCAATATGTAGTTAGGTTCGTATTTACGTGCGGTTTAAAGGGGCTGACGCGAAAGTGGTGCGGCGCGCTTTCTAAAGCGTGGATGTCCTACGGTACCCCGGACAAAATTCCCCATTTGCCATTCTTTTAATTTTTCTCCATTTTGTGGTGTTGTGCGACTTTTTTATTTCGACTCGCCCATAAGTTTCCTTCCTCCTCCATAAAATCTAGAATGTTTTTGTAGCGCGTTTTGAAAGTACTCCCTTCCCCTCCCTTCTTTTTATATGATTTGCCCATAGTTTGTTGTTTAGATTTCTAAAATGGTTTTGTTTTCTTTCTCTTGGCTCCTTTCTACGCCATTGTCATCAAATCTTTTTGCATATGCCGCATAAACTTACAAGGGAAAGGCATCAACTTACGGTAGACAGAGCCTATCCGATGGTTTCAAAATGAGGCATAGCCAGCGTTTTTCCAGTCCGGTGCGAGAATTGAAAATTGTCGATTTCTGGGTAATTATTTTTATTTACAACTAATAACGCAAACCACCTTTATTTTGATTAAAAACTAAAAAACCTATTAATTCCAGGTCGAGTTCAAAGATGAACCACGTTCACACTCACAAGATTCGAAGCCCAAAGAAATGAAAACGTTGAAACACGACTTGGACCAATATTTCACCAAATGGGATTTGAGGAAGAATATTGACGAAGCCAAAGATCGGATAGTGAACAACGAGGCCACCAAATCCAACGAGAATGCCCTTGTGAAAGTGAAAACTCTTGAGCCTACATCAAAATGATCAACCAAAAGCTTGACTTCCTTGACAACCGTAAGTTTATTTAATTTATTCAAAAAATTTATGCTGAATTGTTTTTAGCTCGGAAGAAGCGAGCAGAAGATCAAGAAGGAGAGGAAGAAGAGGAAAGAAAGGGAGAGAAAGCCGAAAGTTCTATTCGCATTTGAGCCAAGTTGCTAATTGAAAGAATTTGTTGTGGTACATCATTTTACTTCAGGTTTATCTATCTAAGTTATTTTCGTTATGCAATGGAGTGAAATCTCCACTACTATGTGATCTATTACTTTCTGGTAAAATAAAATAAATGGTTAATTACAATAATCACTGGGTTGGAGTCTTAAAAGGTACTGATATTTTCTATCTAGAAAAGCCACAAAGCCACAGTAGCCTTACTGAAAAAACAAGACAACAACTTGACTCGGATAATTTAATCACTTAAACATCCTCACTGGTGAAGTATCTACATATTTAATTATTTTAGTGGTTCATGGGTCAAAGCATCTTGTTATGTGCCAACGACAGAGCGAATTCGGCGCACGGAGTGATTCTCATTGATCCCTCATCCAAGAGAAATCTGAAGATAAATTTTGGAAATCACTTGCTCGAAACAATGTCTATTTTGCCTTTTCTTTTTATTTCAATTCAATTCTCAAGTTTTTTCATTTCTTCTAACACACTTTGCCCGAAAATCGGTTCCATTTATGTTAAAACCCCCAAAAGCGGCCGATATCCGGCAGAAGTTCATCTTCGAATCCCCTTTTTTGAGGGAACTAAACGAATTTATATTAAGAAAATCAGAAAGAAAGTTGATCGAGTGATAAAAACTTTAATTCTAGTATAAGTTTTATAATTGAATTTCCCATTAGATCGATTCAATTGTGATAACAATGTATTAGTTCTTGGGTATCGCAGATTAAATATTAGAGCAATTGACCCACAAATCAAAAAATGTAAACACACCCTTTCTGGTTCACTCATCCAGCAGCTGAATTTTCATTTTTCATCTCACCTTCACAAATAATAGCCTCTTAATTGGAGGTTCGTCTCTTTCTCCCCTCAATTCTTTCAAATCCTTTTCCCTTCACAATTCGAAAGATTTTTTTAAGTAATATAAATAAAATATTCAACAAATTTCAAGCTTAATCGATTTCAGAGTTTGATTTCAAAGTTACTCAGTTTCAAAGTTCAAATCCAAACACTTGTTCTCTTGAATTGTTCAAAATATCCTTTTCGCCGATCTTTTCACTTTCACAACTTTCACATTTACTCACCTCATATCAAGCTTGTACTTTATACTCAAAAAGTCTAAACGCATCCTTCCTGAAGCACTTAACTATCTACAGGATGGATAAAAAGTATTGTCGTGCTTTTTTCACCATTTTTTTTGCGCATAGAATTAGCGAGTGTTTTCTATGATATACACTTATTTTTTGCAATTTTTCTTTCTCTTTTGAATGGTATATAACATGTATCGTGAATTTTTAGAAATCCTATTCTGTTCTCATCGAGATGCAATTGCCGCACTTCTGAAAGCTGAAGAGTCAAAGGATCCCATATCGAGGAAACTCAAAATCAACAAAAGGACTATTCAAGGTCTCGCAAAGCAACTCAAGACGAAAGGATCTGTCAAGGAGGTCAAGAATTCAGCTCAAATCGAAAACGCGGCAAGCATCCATCCAGAAAATCATCAATCATTGATCGAAATGATGAAAGGAGGATCAATCAGATGGCCAAGAAGCTAAAAGTTTCAAAGGATCAGTTCAAAACATTTTGAAAAAAAAACTCAGACTCTGTAGTTATCGTCTAGTTATCTAGCAAAGTAAAAGACAGTTTCTTTCCGATCAAAGGTCTGTCGACTTCAGAAAAGCAAGCATCACCAAGCGTCACCAAGCATCACCAAGCATCACCAAGCATCACCAAGCATCACCAAGCATCACCAAGCATCACCAAGCATCACCAAGCATCACCAAGCGTCACCAAGCGTCACCAAGCGTCACCAAGCGTCACCAAGCGTCACCAAGCGTCACCAAGCGTCACCAAGCGTCACCAAGCGTCACCAAGCGTCACCAAGCGTCAGTAAGCGTCACCAAGCGTCAGTAAGCGTCACCAAGCGTCAGTAAGCCTTCTTCAGTTTTTCAAGACGGCATGCATTGAGGAAGTCTTGTGGGCTGATGACAAACTGTTGAAGTTGCTCACAACCCACAAAACTATTGTCAACTGAATCAAATCAAAAAAATCAACAATCAAAAGCCTCCAAATCAAAGGAACACATTGAAACGAAAAATCAGGACGAGAACCCTTTTTCTAAAAGGATTGATGGTTTGGGGAAAGGAAAGACGCCACCCGTTTTTAACGACAAAAATGTCAAAAACAACGCCGAAGTCTATCAAAATGAGGTTCACAATAAAGTTGTGATTCCATTGAAGCGAGAAAACCGTCAGATGCTCTTTCAGTAAGACTGGGCACCAAGCCAAATCAATAATAGATCTGATGAGATACAAATTGCCCTCTCAAAAGAAAGAATCGTCCAGCAACTCGCCGGATCTTAATCCGTTGGATTTTTCAATATGGAGCTATTTAGAGGAAAGTCTGAAGAGTGAGGAAATCACAAATCTCGTTGAACTTAAGAAGGAACTGATTACCTGGGTCAATCTTGATGTCATTTCGGGTCACCGATTCAGCAGTTCCCCGTTTGATGGTCTGTGTGATAGCTAAAGAAGGGAATTTTGAAAATCTATTATAATTTATGCTTTTTGGATATTTTTACATACTTTTCTTTCATAAATTTTTTATTAAAGCAATTTTACGAAAAGTTGTGAGCGATTAAAAAACAATAATACTTTTTAGGCATTCAATATTTCCATTTCCATCCCTTTGAACACTTACTCATAGAAAACTTGTAAACCGATGAGATTGACTTGATTTTATTACTCCAATCTACATTACTCCGGAACTACGTTAGTTTCCAAGTTGCTTAGGGCTTTCTGTGCCAGAACTGAGTTACGATAGCTTGATAGTTTACGCTTACGATAGCCTGGATGGATCTGGTCATGAAATTTCGTTTTCCAACATCTCGATCCAATTCATATCGATATTTTAGTATATTGCCTATTAGCATACCCAGTTTACGGTCATTTTTAAGTTACATAAGTTTTTTCAGCGCTAAACTAGCTCATCCTTGTCTCCGTAAACCCAAATTTCCTACAGATCCCTTCTTTTTTTTTCCTTTCTCACTTTTTATGTTGTAATTTGAAGAAAAGGGCACACGTGTTATGACAGAAAATGGGGAATTGAAGAAAATGAAAGAATGGGGAAAAGAAATTGAGATGTGGGGGACGGTCTCCCGGGAGACTCACCCCATCACCGCCAGATCTCCCGCTTTCCCATCCCCCCTTTCTAAACCTTTCCCCTTCAGAATATCTGTGACACATTTCGAAACAATAACAACTACAAGTAATATAAGAATAATCAGATTGGTAAATCTCGGAGCTTTTTAGGCTTTTTGTTGTGGTTGTCGGAGGAACGGAGTAAAGAATGTTACGTCAATGTTATACAATAAAGCTTGTCTTTGATACTGATCTTTGTGCTTTGAAAGAGCTTTAAAAGACTAATAGTTTTTCTTAATTTCGATAACTGTAATAGCTTTAAAAGTTGTCTGTTTAGGGGGAAAAAACGGAAAAACGGAAAAACGAAAAATGTTACAGTGGACGGAATTGAACCCGCCGCAAGAGCTGGAATCGGTTCCCTAATCCAGGGCACTAACCACTAGGCCACCGCTGCTTCTCGACCCCTCACTTGTGACACGATCTTATTGGCTAGAGGAAGATTTTTCGAAAATTGTCGATACTTCATTCTTGAGCTCTTTCTCTGTTCTTTGTGCTCTCTGTTCTTTGTGCATAAACACATCTTTTGGCGCACCACCAGTTGTCGTTCGGTTCAATTACCCAAGCATTAAACGCTTTAATCACATTTAATCACATTTATGTGGACTCCAGTTAACTGTAAGTCATTGTGGACTCCAGTTAACTGTAAGTTGTAAGTAGTGTAAGTAGTTTTAACTGTAAACCAGAATAAAGGCAAATTCATTCAGCAAACGTACAAAATTACTTTTTTTTTGGTAGATTTCCATCGCTGCAAAATGGCTACATTCAATCCCATAACTACTCCAATTATCAATCTTTCAATGAACTTCGAAAAGCTGAAATTATTAAGGAGAGAAATCCCGTTTTTGCGAAAATTATAGACCCCACCGTGGCCAGGTTGAGGCCTTTCTCCCTTTTTCCTTCAGCCTCTCCTTCTTCAGCCTCTTCTTCTTCAGCCTCTCCTTCTTCTCAAACCACCTGGCACTTACAATTTTATTTCACCGACCAAATCAAACGAATTCCCTTGTTTTTTTTCTTTGTTTTATACGTTGAAATCTTATCGATCTCTTCTTTTGCTCGACAAAACTTTATTTAATCGGCAATCTGATCGAGAGTGGATCCAAGACGGGGGCAAAAAATCCGACGCGCTAAGATACTAACCACTAGGCTACCGAGGCAGATCGATTGCCGCGCGCGATTGCCTTAAATAGGGCTTAAATAGGGCTTAAATAGGCCTTAAATAGGCTAGCTTGTTGTTTGGCGAAATTGGCTGAAACTTTGAAGGTTTATACCTCAAAAATGGCTTATGATAAGTAGAATTTGAAAGCATTTTCGGGGTGCTCTTAACCAGGCGGTGAAATCAGATAGCTCCTGAAATCTCAAGTGCTATCCTTCAAGCGATTGGTTAGCTGGTTAGCTGGTTAGCTCGTGAGCTTTTATGTGCTAGGATAAATGTGGCCATACTGTAAAAATCTACAGCTCTAATAACTTCGACATTTGCGAAAATGCATTCTCTGACACATTTTTTTTCTTTTTGATAGTTTATTTAACTCAGTAAAATGTTCTGATTCAAAAAATTAACATCATTTTAAAAACACAGGTTTTTTAGGTTAGAAATTTTCGATTTTACTATGCGAATGTTTCTTTGCGAGGCTTTTGATTGATCATATCAATATATTTCTTTAATTTACCCCCAAATCATCTTTTTACGGTCATTTTGACACTAAAAACGCTGTATTTTGTTTGGTTTAAAGCGAGGAAAAGCATTTTGAGGAGAAATTGCATTATATGTGGTCAAGAAGCGAAAAAGAATTACTGTGAGAAACTTATAAAATCGAATCCTGAAGATTTCTATTTGAAAAACGACAGTATCTTGTTGAAAAGAAAAATGACAAAAGTGCGCTAGAAAGGGTGCGTTTCCAAATATCGAGCACGAAGTACATCATCTCTCAAGCAGTTAACGACTACGCGACTGTACACGCTCAAAATTCCAACATTTCGCAGTAAGTTTAATTACCGAAGTGTTGTGCGTACCTTTCATGTCGCTAGTAGGAAAAAGCGGCATCTGGCACACGGCTCCAGGATAGGCAGGCCGAAAAGCCGACAGGTCGGTTTAATTACCCAAGCTTTATGCGTACCTTTCATGTCTCTGATAAGAAAAAGCGGCACCTGGCACACGGCCCTAGGATAGGCAAAACCGAAAAGCCCGTCAGCCGGTTTAATTACCCAAGCCTTGTGCATACCTTTCATGTCTCTCATAAGAAAAAGCGGCATCTGGCACACGGCTCCAGGATAGGCAGGCCGAAAAGCCGACAGGCCGGTTTAATTACCCAAGCTTTGTGTGTACTTTTCCTGTCGCTCAGAGGAAAAAGCGGCATCTGACACACGATCCTTGGATAGGGGTAGCCGTAAAGCCGGCTGGCCGGTTGGATTACCCAAGTTTCGAATGTGTTAAACATAAAAGTTAACCAGTTTTCAAAATTCACCATTAACCAGCCCGTTTTTAAAATCCAACCCCCACTTTTCCCATTCATTTTCAATTACTACGAGTTATTTCCCACAAAATCACCCAGTTTTCTCCATGATTTTCTCTTTGCAAAAATCGCTATTCTTTACCCAATCGTCCGCTTTTTTTGCCCATTTTCCCGTGCGAATTTGATGAAAGTTGGGAAAAGATTGGATGTTTTGTGGAAAATTTCGTAAATTTTGAGCTGTATTGGATCAATGTCCAAGCCATCATACAACAGTAATTACTAGTTCACTATTAGATCGTAAATGTTTACTATTACTGCTACTAGTTACTTGTTTACTATTTCTATTAGATTTCGATTAGATTTTGATTAGATTTTGATTAGATTTCGATTAGATTACTCTTAGATTACTCTTAGATTACTATTAGATTACTATTAGATTACTCTTAGATTACTCTTAGATTACTATTAGATTACTCTTAGATTACTCTTAGATTACTATTAGATTACTCTTAGATTACTCTTAGATTACTATTAGATTACTCTTAGATTACTATTAGATTACTCTTAGATTACTATTAGATTACTCTTAGATTACTATTAGATTACTAGTAGATCATATGCTCAATCTTTTACCCAAAAGATCAGCTAAAATTTTTGCCAAGCCTGCCTCAATCTTTGTTTGTTCTTTGTGCGGCCACGTAAACGCATGCCTTTTGGTACACAGTTTGTCTACGGTTTAATTATGCAATTAGAATTTTTGGCATTTAACTCTCAAGCTTTTTCCTAGAAATTTTTCTACTTTATGAATCTTAAAGAAAAATTTATGTCAAAAATGTGATCAAAAAATTGTTCGGGAACAAGAAATTCACCTGTTTTTCCGCTTCTTTGACGTACATTAAGCTGAAATTAGTTTCTTTTCTAAAAAGGTTCTTTTCTAGTTTCTCTTCTACTTTCTTTTCTACTTTCTCTTCTACTTTCATTTCTACTTTCTCTTCTAGTTTCTCTTCTACTTTCTCTTCTACTTTCATTTCTACTTTCTCTTCTAGTTTCTCTTCTACTTTCTCTTCTACTTTCATTTCTACTTTCTCTTCTAGTTTCTCTTCTACTTTCTCTTCTACTTTCATTTCTACTTTCTCTTCTAGTTTCTCTTCTACTTTCTCTTCTACTTTCATTTCTACTTTCTCTTCTAGTTTCTCTTCTACTTTCTTTTCTACTTTCTTTTCTACTTTCTCTTCTAGTTTCTCTTCTACTTTCTTTTCTACTTTCTTTTCTAGTTTCTTTTCTTTTCTACTTTCTTTTCTAAAAACTGAAACTTTTATTGATAGATTCATGACATCAAAGCATACTCGTTTTTCTTTCTCCTTTTTTATCCTCAAATTGTTTTTTAACCATTTTCAGATCAAAATCAGCAATTCTTTCATTGTTATGATCATCATTCACGAATAGGAAACGGTTTTTTTTTCGCTCAAATTTTCGATTTCTTCTTTTCAATTTCTTCAATCTCTCTAGCAGGTAAATTTGCAAAAAAACCCTTTTTCTTTTCGCTTTATTCGATTAGATTTTTGTTGTAATCGGGGAAAATTGTTAAATCTTAAGCAGAGAAATTGAATTTCGATGTTTCTCCGGGAAATCACATAAAAATCGACCGATAACAAGAAAGAAGTTAATTAAAAAAAACTTTTCGTAAAGTTTTACAAGAAAACTTTTTTTCTTGTAATGCTTAGAATAAAATGCAAGTGTTTTATTTAAAATTTGTTTTAAATTTCTAGAAATGGGCGGTTGCGGGAGTAAAGAGGGCAAAGAAATGGCGCAGAGGAGTCGAGAAATCGAGAGGCAATTGAACGCGGATAAGAAAGCCAAAGCGAACATGATAAAGCTCTTGTTGTTAGGTGAGATTTGATATATTGATATATTTGATAAGGTTTAGAGTGAAAAATCGGGCATTTTCGCATTCTTTTTCGCATTTTACAGTCTTCTACGTACACTAATGGACAATGAAATATCATATTTGAAAAATTCGTCACTTTAGACAGAGATCGTCACTTTCGCGCGTCTCTAACTCCATTGTCTTTACCGTATTTCTAAATATTAATATTACCATTGTGTAGCCCTTGAAAAGAGCTTTCAGAAAATGTATAACACTAATAGTTTAAGCTCAAAGACAAACTCAAAGACAAGGGAGTAACAGACGCGCGAAAGTTTTTCGACGATCGTTTTTCAAATATGATATTTCATTGTCCTCTACCTCTACCTTTAGCCTATTTAAGACCTATTTAAGGCCTCTTGATGGCCTCTTTAAGGCCTATTTAAGGCCTATTTAAGCCCTAGTTAAGCCCTAGTTAAGGCCTGTTTCACTGAAAATTTACTAATTTTAGACAAAATACCGTAATCTTGCCGTCATTTTATTAAATTCATCAAATTTTTGCAATATTTAGCGATCAGTTAATAAAGATCGGCTAAAATTTCGTTTGATTACGGTAGTTTTTGTCTAAAAGTTCTTTATAGAATCTTAGATCTTATAGAATTATTTGTTTATCTTTAATCTTTAATATTTCAATTTTTTAGGAGCTGGAGAATGTGGAAAGTCGACAGTTCTCAAACAAATGCAGTAAGAGATTGAAAATAATCAAAAAAATCATGACAAAACCCTTCAGAATCTTACATAGCAACGGTTTCACAGAGGATGAAATCAATGAGAAAAAAGCGATCATTTTTGGCAACACTGTTTCCTCAATGTGCACGATTTTGAAAGCAATGGATACGATTTTGAAGCTGCAAATCGATCCGATTAGAGAAGTGAGGGAAATGGGGAAAAAAAATCAAGATGTTATTGAATTCAGAACCTTGAAAATTTCGAAAAATCGTGTAGCTGATTCCTTTTATTGAAAAGAGTCATGAAATGAAAAATTTTCCAAACTTTCCATTAACTTTGCAAGACTGACTCTATCCTGACGGCAAAGAGAAACCTGTCGATGTAGCTCTGAGCAAAAAACCTGAGAAACCTGTCGATGTAGCTCGTTGCTAGAGCATTTGCCTAGTAGGCAAGAGATTGTGGGCTCGAATCCTGACTCTGTTCTGGCATTTGTGGCTGGCTTTCTTTCTACACTAATCTCTTGATCTTCGTATTTCAGGATGACAAATCGATGGTCTACAAAGTGCAAGAGATGGGTCAAGAAGCCGAGCCGATCACACTAGAATTGGCTCAAGCGTTGCAAGTATCGCTATTTAAATTGCTATTTAAATCGCTACAAGTATCGCTATATTACTGAGCATTTCTAGAGACTATGGGACGATCCGGGAGTGAAAAAAGGCTACGAAATGAGAGCCGAGTACCAATTGACGGATTCAGCAAAATAGTGAGTTTCGTGCTGAAGCTTTACCCAGTGCCTTTCTGACTCATAACAGACTTTTCTGATCAGATCATTATGGGCCAGATGGCCGAGTGGTTAGCAAGCTCGCACCGGGTGTGAGGGGTCAGGAGTTCGAATCCGTCTCCAGTCAAGGATCATTGTTTTGACTAAAGGCTCTTTTTAAAGAGCTAGAAATAGAAATAACCACCGAGCTCGACTCTCAAACCCAAACTTACCCTGGTTTCCTGCTTGTTTATTAATATTATTATTAGTTTCGAAATTATTTCATTCATTTGCAGTTTCCTTGACAATGTGATCCGAATCTCCGAGGCTGGCTATCGACCCAGCGAACAGGATATCCTTTTCTCGAGAGCCGCCACAACGGGAGTCGTTGAAGTCAAGTTCAAGATCAAGGATCTCGATTTTCGGTGCGTAAACAAATCGTTTTCGAAAATGTACACACTTTTTAGACTGCCTGCCTTTATTTTTATCTCCAATTTATCTATTATAGTTATAGTAAGGGTCTTCTTTAACCAAACAAACTTCCCCCGAAAGCTAAAGGCAAATCTGAGTAATCTCACCATTTTCCAAGGTGTTTCATCGAATTTTCAAATCACTTTGAACTATCTCGAAACTGAAACACGTGGGTAAAAGAAATGTTTCCACAAAATGTTATCCAAACGGCGAAATTCCAAAAGCTCTAAATTTTTGACGTCAAAATTGAATTATTTTTGTATTCTTACTGGGAAAATCATTGCTTTTCGTTTTGAATTTTGATTTTGAAATGTTTTTGGACAATTGTTTATGAGCTTTTCTTGAGCTTTGACAGATTTTGACTCATAATTTTCCTTTGTGACTTGATCATAATCGCGCGCGCGAAACTTGGGTAATTAAACCGGTGTGCCGCCTTTTTGGCCTGGCTATCTTGGGACCGTGTGCCAGAAGCCGCTTTTTGCTCTGAGCGACATGAAAGGTACGGACAAAGCTTGGGTAATTAAACCGCCGGCTTTTCGGCTACCCCTATCCAAGGATCGTGTGCCAGATGCCGCTTTTTCTTACGAGCGACGTGAAAGGTACGCACAAAGCTTGGGTTATTAACCCGGTAGACCGGCTTTTCGGCCTGCGTATCTTGGGACCGTGCGCCAGATGCCTCTTTTTTCTCTGAGCGACATCAAAGGTACGCACAAAGCTTGGGTAATTAAACCGGCTGGCCGGCTTTTCGACTATTCGTATTCTGGAGCCGTGTGCCAGATGCCGCTTTTTGCTCTGAGCGACATAAAAGGTACGCATAAAGCTTGGGCAATTAAACCGGCCTGTCGGCTTTTCGGCTACCCTTATCCAAGGATCGTGTGCTAGATGCCTCTTTTTCCTCTGAGCGACATGAAAGGTACGCACAACACTTGGGTAATTAAACTCACGAAATTACAGCCTTTTATACTTTTGCTTCACAATTTTCTGCTATTAAATGATCAATTTTTGACCAGCAAGACCTAATCTCTATGAGCAAAGTCTTTTCCCTTTTCCAGAAATTTCCCATTGTTTATCCACTCTTTACAATCTTCGACGCTATTGAATTTTCTTCTCTCCACGTTTTTTTTCTTCTTTTTTTCTCATCTAATTACCCGACAAGCCTCCGATTCTATTGATGTAATTGGTTGGAGGGAAAGCCGCTGACAAAAAAAAAAGAAAAAAAAGAGAAATCAAAACGTAACCGAGCGTGAATTTTTGCGATCAACAAGGGAAAGGAGGCTTTTGATTACGGATTGTAACTGGTTGCAATCTTACAAAGAGAGCTTACAGAGCTAAGCTTAGAAACCAACTGATTTCAAAGGGACAAGCTCTGCAAAAGAATAATTTCAGAGTGTTCGACGTGGGTGGACAACGATCGGAGAGAAGGAAATGGATTCATTGCTTTGATAATGTTGAGGCGATTATCTTCATTACTGCAATTTCCGAGTACGATCAAGTCTTGTTTGAGGATGAGAATACGGTAATGAATGAATGAATGAATGAATGAATTTAAATCAATCAAGATATTCGTCTTTTAGAATCGAATGATCGAATCAATGCAATTGTTTAATTCGATTTGTAACTCGACATGGTTTCTCAACACGGCGATGATCCTTTTCTTGAACAAAAAAGATTTGTTCTCCGAGAAAATCAAACGTGTTAATATTACGAGCGCTTTTCCGGACTATGAAGGTGAAAAGTGAAAAGTGATTTGTTTTAGATACGAGATTCTGAAGAATGGTACTGTATTTCTAAGAAAAGTACTGTATTTCTAAGAAAAGTACTGTTTTCCTAAAGAAAAGTACTGTTCTCCTAAAGAAAAGTACTGTTTTTCTAAAGAAAAGTACTGTTTTCCTAAAGAAAAGTACTGTTCTCCTAAAGAAAAGTACTGTTTTTCTAAAAAAAGTACTGTTTTTCTAAGGAAAAGTACTGTTTTTCTGAAGAAAAGTACGGTTTTTCTAAGGAAAAGTACGGTTTTTCTAAGAAAAAGTACGGTTTTTCTAAGGAAAAGTACTTTTTTTCTAGGGAAAAGTACTGTCTTTCTAAAGAAAAGTACGGTTTTTTGCTGAAGAAAAGTACTGTATTTCTAAAGAAAGACGCTGTATTTCTTTCATTTTCTACTATAATTACAGTACTCTTCGACTAGATGGACTAGCTTTTTACTGGATTACTGTACTTACAGTTCTTTTTACTGTACTTACAGTTCTTCCAGAATTGACCATAACTAACGGGTTCAAATCGTCTGAAGGTATCCGAAAGCCAGGCGTCTTTTTCTCAAAAGTCCAGAAAAACTTGATTGCAAAGAGCGAGTGTTGATCGAGCTTCATTAGCTGGATTTTAAAATCGCCCTGTTCAAGGGTAAAGCCACCATGTTCAAAGTGATTTGCTGCTCACAATTCTAAGAAATCTTTCAAGACTATTTGTTGATAGTTTCCTGCGTTGATCATCACGTTTCAATCAAAAAAACACAAGTGGAGATCCCCGCGGCCCACGTGATTGAGCCATTACGGAAGCAGGGAGATGTAGTGATGATGGAGATATGGAGATGATGGAGATATGCCGTACCATCAGTTTTGCCGCCAAAGTGTTCTTGAGATCTCGCTTAAGAAGTTGGCGATGGTTTTGGTGATTGTGGATCAATTGGAGGGTGAAAATCTTCTGATTGATAAACACAACTTTTCCACAAGCGACCATTTGCGAACAATGAAATCATCTTCCGGCATTGGAGCCTCTTTTTTCACATTCAAAAAGTGTATCCGGTTGAATTTGTAGCTGCGTATTCTGAGCATATGCGTATTCTAATTCTAAAGCTTCTTATGGACAATTCTCCAAACACTATTCTTGCTGATTTTCTCATTTTTCTCATCGATCGTGTGAGATTTGGGCGAATACGGTAACGGACTTTGTCCTTATCGACTTTGTCACGAATTTTCGATCCTTATGATGATAAGGATCGAAAATTCGTGACAAAGTCGTCCCAATACCTTGTTTGGCTTTTCAAACAATAGATTTGATGTAATCGGACGAATTTGACGTTTGAACAATGCTCTTTACTCTCCATACTCTTTCCCTGCTTGTGTAGCTCAAAGATTACGGCTCTCTTGTTCTCTTGTTCTCTTCTTGCTCTTTGGATCATCTTTCAAGACTAACAAAAAACTTTAGCTAGTTTTTTTTAATTAAAAATAAATTCAAATGCAAGAAAAGTATAAATAACACAAAAATAAACCAATTTTGAAAAATTTCAAAACTTTTGAGAAACCCTGAAGCTATTAAAAAAGAACCTGCAAAAGAAACTGTGGATCTAAAAAAGCCATGAGATAACGACGATAAGTAAAGATAATCCAGATTGATTAGTATTGATTGATTGATTTTTAGAAAGCTTTAGAAAACTCAATATTTTCTCTTTTTAAGAATAATAAAAGGAATTTTAAGAAGCTTTTAAGAAGCCAAAGTTCCAAAGAAGCTTTCTTTTAGAAAGCCAATGAAATTTTCAAATAAACACACTAAAATTGGCCTGGCAAAGCCGAATTTCAAAGTTCAAAGAGAAAATATTGAGCTTTCTAAAATTACAAATCAATCTGGATCAATCAATCAATCAATCTTTACTTACCTTCCTTATCCGGTGGCTTTTTTTGGACCACAATTTTTCTACCCAATACAAGTAGTCAACAGTTTGAATTCAAACACAATTCAAATTCAGGTGGTCAAAACTACGAGGAAGCTGTGAACTATATAAAGATGAAATTCGCTGAGTTGAACATGAATCCGGATAAGAAAAATATCTATATGCATGAGACGTGTGCCACGGATACAAATCAGGTTGAGTTTCATGTGAAATTTTAGCAACTCTCACATCAAAAAAAACTCCAGGTTCAACTCGTGATTTCGAGTGTCATCGACACCATCATTCAGAAGAATCTACAGAAAGCTGGAATGATGTGAAAAGTGGGTAGGGGTTTATTGAAGAATCTGGAATACTGTAGTCCTCTGGGATACCGTAGTCTTCTGGGATACTGTAGTCCTCTGGAATACTGTGTCTTCTAGAATACCGTAGACTTCTGGGATACTGTAGTCCTCTGGAATACTGTGTCTTCTAGAATACCGTAGACTTCTGGGATACTGTAGTCCTCTGGAATACCGTAGTCTTCCAGAATACTGTAGTCTTTTAGAAGTGTACTTTGTGCTTTAGAAATAGAAACACTCTAGCACACTTGATCGTTCACCAGCTCGCCGTGTGCCAGAAAGCGTGCGTTTACAAGTCCTCTAGAATACCGTAGTCTAAGTACAGTAGTTTTAAGTGTACTTTAAAAAGTATTAAGAATCAAGACCAAACCTCAGCCTTCATTTGATCTCAAGTGTACTTTGTGCTCACCGGTAAACGCAGCCTTTCTAGTGCATTGAATTCCTGATTTTTCTTGTTACTTGTTGTTGTCTACGAGAAAAATAGAGATTCCTGTGCACTAGAAAGCGCGCGTTTACTGGTTAGCACAAAGTACACAAATTTCTCTGTCTTACAGGGACTTTTTGTGGGAAGTCTACTTTGTGCTTTAGAAATAGAAACACAATCTTTCTAGCACACTTGATCGTTCCCCAGTTCGCCGTGTGCCAGAAAGCGTGCGTTTACAGTTCTAGCCACAAACTTTCAAGGAAAAGATTGTGTCTGAACTTTGTGCTCACCAATAAACACAGCCTTCCTAGCGCAGGAGATTTTCATAATCAGTGCACCAGAAAGTGTGCGTTTACCGGTTAGCACAAAGTACAGATCGAATTTTCAGGGATTTCTTTGAACAAATCGCTTTCAAGGCACATTTTCAGAAGCATTTTCAGAAAGGAAATCTTTTCGCAAAAATTGCTAACCAAATTCCCATCATTTTTAAATCGTTTCCCGAGTGAAAGTGATTACCTTTCCTTCGTTTACCTTCTCAGTTTCCCCTCTTTTCCATGACAACGAAAAAAAGCATCAAAAAAGGATCTCCCTCAGGATCAACTTCAAATTTTTAGAAAATTTCTCTTATAATTTTCTTTCAATAATTAATTAATCAATAATTTTTCCAATTTAGATTGTGTCTTCTATGTTTTAGTCCATCATCGAATGTCCGTAAACGAGTTTTTCTTTGTCTATTTCATGTCATTTTTGTCTTTTTGTCTTTTTTGTCTTTTTTTGTTATGGTACTTTAAAGCAATAAGTGTGCTTTTTTAATGTTTAAGATTTATGAACGCTGAGTTGTTGCTCATTTTGTATCAAATGAAATAGAGAAAACGGTGGCAAGAGATATGGCGAAGGGTTTTAAGGATTTTCTTCTTTATTTCCTTCTTTATTTTCTTCTTTATTTGGTTCTACCCCCACAAACAAGTCAAATTAGCATACCGTATTTTCTCTAATAGTATTGCACCGCGGTCAGCCGAGTTGATGACTATTTTACAATTCCCAAGCTTTCCCAGAAGCTCAACACTCAAATCCCCCACAAGATCTCATCGTCAGCTACATTTTCCGACCCCACATCGATAGGTTCTGATAAGCGGTTCTCGAGATTTCGAGGAATTTAGGTGCAGGTGCACTACTATTAGTGCACTACTATTAGCACTACTATTAGCATTGCAAGGTGCACTACTATTAGAGAAAATACGGTAATTATGTGTAGTTTAAGGGTCAAAGATGTTCAAGGAATACTTATAAACTAATTTACAATAAAAATAGCTAAACTTAAACTACGTAAAATAATAATTTTATGTTAATTTAATTGATCAATGTACTCTTTCTTTTACAAAAAGCTTTTAGTAGCTTTATTCAAGTTTTCAAGAGGATTCAGCTATTGATTTCAACTATCGAATCACTAGAAAAGTTTTAGTTTATCATTGAATCGTAGCTTAGTTAGTTTACCTTTAGAATGCTCACTAAAACATCAATGAAACGGTAGACGACGGTAGACGACAAATTTGTAGAGATAGGGAGCTCAATTGGTTGAGATATGGCACCAAATTTGTAGAGATAGGGAACCAAATTTGTTGAGATAGGGAACCAAATCTGTGGAGACTATCCACTCAAAATACTGTGTAATTCGATTATCGTTAACCCATTAAAGTCTAGATACTGATCATTATCTAGACTAGATCTTAAGCTTCAAAAATAGCTCAAAAATAGCTCAAAAATAACTCAAAAATAACTGAAATCTCTTGTCTCTTGTCACTGCTTTTCTCTAAATTCCCAAAAGAGAATTAATCTCTAAAACATTTTTCAATGTTTATTTTCCTTATTTTGACCATTTTTCTTGTCGATTTCCTTCTTTCTTTTCCATTTACTTTTGTACAAACTGCCTTTGTCCGATTCTTCAAAGAAAATTTGATTATTAATGTTTAATGTCTAATGTTAATGGCTAAACTTTGTGTTTAATGGCTAAACTTTGTGTTTAATGTTTAAACTTTGTGTTTTAATGTCTAAACTTTATTTAATGGCTAAACTTTGTGTTTAATGGCTAAACTTTATGTTTAATGTCATTTTTAATCTTTGTCTATTTTATTTTTATTTTATGACTAGAAATTGAGATTTTATGGAAAGTTGGGAGCTGATCGAAAAAGTGCCGCGGTACAAATAGCGCCACAGAGAGCACAGACGGCAACAGACAAAAAATCCTCCCTCCGCCATCACGTTTCCATGTGTTTCTTATTCTTATTGAATACAGAATAATATTATCTACATTTTGCATAGTTCCGGATCGATTAAAACAGAATTCGTGCCGA